GCATGCATGTATGTATGTATGTATGTATGTATGTATGTATGTATGTATGTATGTATGTATGTATGTATGTATGTATGTATGTATGTATGTATGTATGTATTTATGTATGTATGTATGTATGTATGTATGTATGTATGTATCTGTCTAAATACATGCCTGCCTATTTACCATAACCTACATACCACACCGAACTACTTGAGTTGTTTCATAATTATAGGCAATGTTAATGAATACCAGATATGTCAGTTCCACAAACACTGATTGGTCAGGGAAACTAAATCAGAACGCTGCGAGCTACAATTGATGACAGTAGAATTCTCCGCTAGAATTTGCCTGCTTGATTTCTTTCATCTCAGATATGAAGCTGCTGCAATGCGCCCTGTTCCAAAAAGTATTTGTTACATCAGAGTTGTTCGTGTCTGTCGTTTTCATTTTATATTTAAATCAAAGTCTTCACTGCCCTTCTTCCATTTATAATAGTGTTCTTGACTGACTCATCGTGAAATACAATGTCTATAGTTTAAGGGACTGAACATCCACTACAATGATGTAATTGACTGTAAATAGCTTTCTGTCAGGACTAGGACTGTCATTAAATAGCCGTGTCAGTTAATGGATTGATCAGACGTCACAGTTCCCACATAGGGCGATTGGTGCTTGAAATATTGCCTCACAGCTGCCGCAATTATGGATGAGTTGTGTAGTTTAACCCAGTCACTACCAGGAAACTCGTCATATGTTTACAAGCACCCCTGTACATGATACGTTTGTGTCTTTTCCAGCTGTATTATTAACTCATGCTAGCATTACAGTGGAGATAGCCGATGTCACAGAGGACGTGGATGGTTGGCAGGGCAGAAAGCAACTCATGCATTGACTTAGGCATGCTTAAGGGGTCACTAATGGCATTTTTTTCCACTTTATGACAAAAATATCACTTTTTTAATGTGTTCGTTTTTGTAAAGTTCGGCATTCGAAGAATAGATGACACACAAAATTTATGTCATTTGTAAACAATTTAGCATTGAAACGTTAATACTAACGACACCACCTCGTGCACTTTTTCAAGTTTAAAAAAAAAAAGTTAAAAAGTCATGTTTTCTCAAATCTCTATATTTCAGTTTGCTGTGTGTGTGTGTGTTAAATCCTAAAATCTAAGCTAATATAACGAGTAGAAACATGAAATTTTGTATGCCTCCTTCGTAAACAATATTATAGGGACTGGTCTATCTAAAAGTAGATTTTAGAAAAAAAAAATTTTTAAATTTGATTATTGTCTTATGATGCTAGATTTTTTTTTGACTTTTTCAATAAACATAAATTTTAAAATTCTACGAAAAATATTTAAAAACATGTTTTAAGTAAATAAGCTAGACCTGTACCTCTAAATAGGACGACAAATCATGAATCCATCGTCTATTGTTGAATACTTATGTTTGTTTTTAAAATTTTAGGATTCGAAGTACAAATTGTTTTTTTTTTTCACAATATGGTGGCTATTGCAATGACAACTATGATTTTTTAAACACTTAAAGTATAAAAATGTAATAACATGTATCCCTACAAATGACTATTATAAAATAACTGCTCTAACTCTGTAAATAAAAAAAAAAAAATTGTTGGTGTAGTGACCCCTAACTTCAGCTCGAATAGGTTGAGAGCATCCTTGAAGTCCTGTCCCAAGAAACCACCGTGTCTGTACACATCGAGAACCGCTGGGCTGACAGGAAATGAAAGAGACGACAGACTGGGGTCTGCAGTGGCTGGTGCAGGAAGACGAATGGACAGGGCAGACGTACTGAACCCTGTTTTCTAGAGACTTTGAGAGTAAGAGATGGAGCGACACCATCAGAAGCAACCTAACAGTAATGAACACCAGCTTGTAGAATACATTGGAAAGAGCTGAAAACGACACTCACATCTCCTCCGACACCTCGCAGAGGTCAATGGTGGAAGAGAAGAAGAAGAAGAAGACTTAAAAATATAACTATTTGCATAGTAAAGGTGTAAAGTACAGTAGGTGAGGGCTTATACCCTCTACCGTACCCCAATTTTAGGAATGGGCCCTTCAACCCCAATTTAGGCCTATACCAGAAGCGCCTTGGGTTTAAGGGAATTAATCAAGTAACAGAAAGTGTACTGATCGGCACTCATAGAAAGAAGTTTATTGGGTTTAAGGGCAAGCGAGGCAGGGGAATCGACAAGGACCGAGTCTTCAGCATGTCCTAATAAATTGGAGGTTGTTCAGTGCTACGCTTACATGGTGGTGAAGTCATACTTAGGAGATGAGACACAGAAATCTAGGAGGAACGTAGAGATATAATAAACACTTGGTACAGGACACACGAATGTCCGTGTACCTACACAGGTGGTAACTAAAGAAATAAGGAACACAAGACTTTTAGTTCCTGGTCTGTTGAGTTCAACCGTCCTCCTCGAATGTTCTTAATCTTTTAATCATCCTAGTTCCAAATTCCACACACTTGAAAGCTAAATAAATTTGTTTATCACATTGTAACTGCAATTTCAATGGTCAACTTGAATCGGGTATTCCCAGCCTGACGCCTGACTCAGGGCCTCTGGATTAGACCACGTCATTTCCGTGACAGGTCGTGACCTCCGGCCAGAGATTTGAAGCTGGAGCAGGTCGTCGACAGTTGCTGGAAATTCCCGTTCTTAGGGGCATTACGGGGATTCCCACTGGCTGGTGACTGGCGTCACAGGAGAAAAATGAACAGATATTTTGGGATTTTATTGAAGCAGAGAACAGAAATGGGATCCGAGTTAAGACTAGATGATAAAATAATAATTAAAACAAAAATATGCTGACGTATAGATAAAATAGATTGATAGGTGTGAAGGCTGACGTATAGATAAAATAGATTGATTGTGTTGAGGCTGACGTATAGATAAAATATATTGATTGTGTTGAGGCTGACATATAGATAAAAGCATAGGTATAAATTGGTTAGAAAGGGGTTCCATAACAGACACAAGACACGTGCAAGCACATGGAAGTTTAGAGTCTGTACAGAAGGGAATTCGTCACCAGTCAGAATTGATATGATGGTACACTTGGCAAACTATAAGTTACTATAAGAGAAATCATCGTGATTTTGTACAAGGCACCTTTCCACTAGCATAGAAGGCTGACCATAGAAGACTGGCCATAGAGGACTGGTCATAGAGGACTGGCCATAGAGGACTGGTCATAGAGGACTGGCCATAGAAGACTGGCCATAGAGGACTAGTCATAGAGGACTGGCCATAGAGGACTGGCCATAGAGGACTGGCCATAGAGGACTGGCCATAGAGGAATGGCCATAGAAGACTGGCCATAGAGGACTGGCCATAGAGGACTGGCCATAGAGGACTAAATATAGAGGACTGAACATAGAGGACTGGCAATCTAATCATGGATAGTTTTAAGTTTTTGTTCGTACATATCATATTATTTCCCACATTTTCGTATATTTATTTGCCCTTCAGCCCATTATAATATTTGTATTATTATTGTGCACTTAAGCATAGCACAGGCGCCTTACCTCAAGAAAGTTTGTAAAGAGGCTGCGGGTTCCCCAGATTGTATGTTATGTCCACGATTGTGACCCCAATTGTGATTTCAGTCTAAAAATAACTAATGTGAAACATTAACGGAAGTCACAGTGCTCTGAGCCGTGACAAGATGAACTGAGGAATGCTGTGACAAGATGAACTGGGGAATGCTGTGACAAGATGAACTGGGGAATACTGTGACAAGATGAACTGGGGAATGCTGTGACAAGATGGACTGGGGAATACTAGTACAAGATGAACTGGGGAATACTGTGACAAGATGAACTGGGGAATACTATGACAAGATGAACTAGGGAATATTGTGACAAGATGAACTGAGGAAAACTGTGACAAGATGAACTGGGGAATACTGTGACAAGATGAACTGGGGAATACTGTGACAAGATGTACTGGGGAATACTGTGACAAGATGAACTGGGGAATAATGTGACAAGATGAACTGGGGAATACTGTGTCAAGATGAACTGGGGAATACTGTGACAATATGAACTGGGGAATAATGTGACAAGATAAACTGGGGAATATTGTGACAAGATGAACTGGGGAATACGGTGACAAGATGAACTGGGGATAACTGTGACAAGATGAACTGGGGAACACTGTGACAAGATGAACTGGGGAATACTGTGGCAAGATGAACTGGGGAATGCTGTGACAATATGAACTAGGGAATGCTGTGAAAAGATGAACTGGGGAATACTGTGGCAAGATGAACTGGGGAATACTGTGACAAGATGTACTGGGGCATACTGTGACAAGATCAACTGGGGAATACTGTGGCAAGATGAACTGAGGAATGCTGTGGCAAGATAAACTGGGGAATACTGTGACAAAATGAACTTGAAAGGCTGTGACGAGATGAACTGGAAAATACTGTGACGAGATGAACGGGAATACTGTGACAAAATGAACTAGGGAATACTGTGGCGAGATGAACTGGAAAATACTGTGACGAGATGAACGGGAATACTGTGACAAAATGAACTAGGGAATACTGTGGCGAGATGAACTGGAGAATAATGTGACAAGATGAACTAGGGATTGCTGTGACAAGATGAACTGGGAAATACCGTGACAAGATTAACTGAGGAATACTGTGACAAGATGAACTGGGGAGTACTGTGAGAAGATAAACTGGGGAATACTGTAACACTGCCCTGTGTTCAGGTAAACATTAATCAGAAACAGAAATGATGACACGGAATGTGAGTTTGGATTTAAATGTTCATAAAATTCTCGTTACTGACTTCCGTGCTTTTTTTTTTTCTTTCTTTCTGAATGCAGATATACCAATATTGCTAGTGCCACTTTAGGAAACGAGCAACTCTCAGTCAGCAATTAAACAGCTACTGTTACTGTCTGTCCTTGTTGGTCCTTGTGTGCGAGAGTCTTGGTTCTCCTCTAGTACCTTCCCCCAGAACATTATGGCAACTACAGATGCGGTGATTTGTGTGGGAGATGGATATGGCTACCCGTATCGTGAAACTCGCTGTGAAGGAAGACAAATAAAGTCAAGGCAGGCAGCAGACGACAGGGATAAAGGACAGCAAAGGCATAGCCAGTCTGCAGGTCTGAATAGTCGTGGGCTTCAGACAGAAATCACGCCAATTTCACCGAGTGCTGTAGCCGATCAAGAGGCACCAAGCAGAGCAGGTAATGAACATTCTGGAACAACTATCAGCTTAAATTCAGTTGCTGCTTTTACCTTTGTATACGGTTTTCCACAGAACATCTTTTGGCAAATAGTTGAGGATTTGCGCGGCAAAGGAAAACCAATAAATTATGAAACTCTAATAGATAAATGCAATTCATGTGATGGATTTTACGCTCCTAAAGGTACAGCACATTCAGAAGAATTTACCTTTGAGGGCCCTTCTGATGTTTTTAGTAATCCCTCTTTGACGATTGCTTTCGAGTCGCTACCCTCGTCAGTTCATACACCCGAGATTTCACCTTCCCATTACTACCAGCAGATGAACTCTACTACACCGAAACCCCCATCTATCTGTTCAGATAATAACAATGCCGATAATGACCAAAGCCCTGGTCATAACTCGGAACATCAACTTTTATCTTTACCAACCATTCCGCATGACTATTATTTCAAGGAATCTAAACAAAATGATTTATATAATGTTACAGAGGATTTAGAAGATGCTCTGGACGGTAGAAATTTAGAGTCAAATGATGGATTAGACAGATGGCTTGTTAGCGACTTTTCTAATCCACTCGTTCACATTTCTGAGAGCAACTCCGCATATATCGGTACACCAGTATTCTCACAGAACTTGTCTGGGCTAGAGCCTAATGTGCCAACAAACAAACCAGGGCAGAGTGTGTTACTTCCTGAATTATTGAATGAAAAGCCATCTGCAGCATCACTGAATCCTTTTGGACATGTTCCCCTAGGGCAGCAGAATTCTGTTTCTACGTTACCGGAGCTCACCTCTGCTAGATCGTGTGCAGATGGACTTTCAAGCCGGTTAAACGCTGATGACAGTACTTCAAGCCGGTTAAACGCTGATGACAGTACTTCAAGCCGGTTAAACGCTGATGACAGTATTTCAAGCGTGTTATACGCGGGTGACAGTATTTCAAGCGGGTTAAATGCTAGTGACAGTATTTCAAGCGAGTTAAACGCTAGTGATAGTATTTCAAGAGGTTTAAACTCTGCCGATGATATTTCAAGCGGATTAAAGGCTGATGGTGGTTTAACAGTTTCAGCAGATTTACCAGATATTGTCTGTGATGGTACAGAAACAAGCCGCCATGCTGACGAACTACAAAATACTCAAGCCACAGAAAGTAAACCAGCTAAGAAGCCAAGGACACTAACGGAAGCAGAAATGTTTCAGTTCACTTTCAGCCTGTTAGAAATGGAGCACCAGCTACTGGAAAAGTCCAGATTATGCCATGGTTGTCATCAAAAGCCCAGAGAGGTAACATTTCTTCCGTGTGGACATTTCATCACCTGTGCTGACTGTGCGGAGCCCATGTATGTCTGTCCTTTGTGCGATAAATCTATTCTGGCTACAGTAAACACATTTTTGTCTTAAGTAAAAGTTTTGAGACCAGTTTGAAATGGTTCATTATGGGCTGTTGATCGTGGAAGAACATTTACTGCTGGCTCAGTGATGTCTGTGCTGCTGCGGTTATCCAGTGTCAACCAGTTCGTCTTCGCGGCTGAACCCTGAAGCCGTTTCCCTCGTCCTCTGAAGGTCGTCGGTTCGTTTCATCAGCACTGTTGGGTTCACGCAATTTTCAAGAACATCCAAGAGGATCTCGCTGGAGCTACGGAGCTTATGCTTTGTACGATGCTCTCCGTAGGCAGTTAGCTGTTCTAAAGAGAGACAGTGTCATATGGGATAAGACCCGGTGCTTTGAAGTTGTTACTTTAGACTAAATATATTTTTATTTTTATCACTGTGAATCAGACACCAGTTTCCCGAAAGACTGACAAAGGTGACTTGTGTGCGTTGATCCTATGTGAATCAACTCCCGGCTTCCCAAAGGTGACCTGTGTGCGGTGATCCCATGTGAATCAACTGTCAGCTTCCCAATGGTAAACTGTGTGCTGTGATCCCATGTGAATCAACTGTCGGATTCCCAAAGGTGACCTGTGTGTGGTGATCCCATGTGAATGAACTGTCGGCTTCCCAAAAATATATGTTCCATTTTGCTCGTGGCAACACCCCGTAGAGACTAGCTAGGACACTGATTGAGTCGATGGGAGACTAGGACACTGGTCGAGCCTGCTGGTCTCAAAGTCTAGGGATCAAATCCGCATCGAGGATGGTTTTTTTTTTAAAACTGACCTTTGTTCGCAGCTCGATCCTGCCTAAAATGGGTACCAGGTACTAGGAAGTAAAGGCGACCGGTGTGCTTGTAACCGCCTCACCCATGAGTGCCACTTGGTCTACAGAAAATGTGTGTCTAGCATTATATACCCATTATGCCAGTGACGTAAGCAAAATTTTATGCTTTAACTTTTTTTTTTTAAACATATTCACGTTAAAGTAGACGACTGGACTAAACAAGATTAAGGTACCTCTATACTTTAGGGTAGAAGAAAAAAAAAACATGACTTAAGATTATCTCAGGACAGAACAAGAAGAATTTAACAAGACTGTAAAATACCTCCTCCCTTAAGGTGAGAAAAAAAAAACTAAACAAGACCATAGGATACCTTTACACTTAATAATAGAGAAAGAAAACACAAGACTATAAGATACCTCTACACTTAATGATAGAGAAAGAAAACACAAGACTGTAAGATACCTCTACACTTAATGATAGAGAAAGAAAACTAAACAAGACTGAAAGATACCTCTACACTTAATGATAGAGAAAGAAAACACAAGATTGTAAGATACCTCTACACTTAATGATAGGGAAAGAAAACTAAACAAGACTGCAAGATGCCTCTACACTTAATGATAGAGAAAGAAAACACAAGACTGCAAGATACCTCTACACTTAATGATAGAGAAAGAAAACACAAGACTGCAAGATACCTCTACACTTAAGGATAGAGAAAGAAAACACAAGACTGTAAGATACCTCTACACTTAAGGATAGATAAAGAAAACACAAGACTGCAAGATACCTCTACACTTAAGGATAGAGAAAGAAAACACAAGACTGTAAGATACCTCTACACTTAAGGATAGAGAAAGAAAACACAAGACTGCAAGATACCTCTACACTTAAGGATAGAGAAAGAAAACACAAGACTGTAAGATACCTCTACACTTAAGGATAGAGAAAGAAAACACAAGACTGTAAGATACCTCTACACTTAAGGATAGAGAAAGAAAACACAAGACTGCAAGATACCTCTACACTTAAGGATAGAGAAAGAAAACACAAGACTGTAAGATACCTCTACACTTAAGGATAGAGAAAGAAAACACAAGACTGCAAGATACCTCTACACTTAAGGATAGAGAAAGAAAAACACAAGACTGTAAGATACCTCTACACTTAAGGATAGAGAAAGAAAACACAAGACTGTAAGATACCTCTACACTTAAGGATAGAGAAAGAAAACACAAGACTGTAAGATACCTCTACACTTAAGGATAGAGAAAGAAAACTAAACGATACCATAAGATACCTCTACACTTAGTGATAGAGAAAGAAAACTAAACGAGACCATAAGATACCTCTACACTTAATGATAGAGAAAGAAAACACAAGACTGTAAGATACCTCTACACTTAAGGATAGAGAAAGAAAACTAAACAAGACTGTAAGATACCTCTACACTTAAGGATAGAGAAAGAAAACTAAACAAGACTGTAAGATACCTCTACACTTAATGATAGAGAAAGAAAACACAAGACTGTAAGATACCTCTACACTTAAGGATAGAGAAAGAAAACACAAGACTGTAAGATACCTCTACACTTAATGATAGAGAAAGAAAACTAAACAAGACTGTAAGATACCTCTACACTTAATGATAGAGAAAGAAAACTAAACAAGACTGTAAGATACCTCTACACTTATTGATAGAGAAAGAAAACACAAGACTGTAAGATACCTCTACACTTAAGGATAGAGAAAGAAAACTAAACAAGACTGTAAGATACCTCTACACTTAATGATAGAGAAAGAAAACTAAACAAGACTGTAAGATACCTCTACACTTAATGATAGAGAAAGAAAACACAAGACTGTAAGATACCTCTACACTTAAGGATAGAGAAAGAAAACACAAGACTGTAAGATACCTCTACACTTAAGGATAGAGAAAGAAAACACAAGACTGTAAGATACCTCTACAATTAAGGATAGAGAAAGAAAACACAAGACTGTAAGATACCTCTACACTTAAGGATAGAGAAAGAAAACACAAGACTGTAAGATACCTCTACACTTAAGGATAGAGAAAGAAAACACAAGACTGTAAGATACCTCTACACTTAAGGATAGAGAAAGAAAACACAAGACTGTAAGATACCTCTACACTTAAGAATAGAGAAAGAAAACACAAGACTGTAAGATACCTCTACAATTAAGGATAGAGAAAGAAAACACAAGACTGTAAGATACCTCTACACTTAATGATAGAGAAAGAAAACACAAGACTGCAAGATACCTCTACACTTAATGATAGAGAAAGACGACCCTGAGTAGGTGGATTATCTCAACTTTTATATTGTTATGTTATGTTTCTATGAACCTTAGTGGGGAGAGATGTGGTTCAGACCTAATGTGTTCAATAAACAACTGTGATAATTTACATTTTCCATGGCGGTGTTGTGGTTTTTTTTGAGACTGAAACAAACTGTGTTGTATGATTGAAGAAGATGCTTGTACACTTGTATGCATATAGAAGATGCGTGTACTATTGTATGTCTAAAGATAATGGTTGTACTGTTGTATGCAAGAAGACGATGTGAGTACTGTTGTATGCGAGAGGAAGATACGTGTACTGTTGTAAGCGAGAAGAAGGTGCGTGTACTGTTGTTTGTCTAAAGATAATGGGTGTACTGTTGTATGCAAGAAGACGATGTGAGTACTGTTGTATGCGAGAGGAAGATACGTGTACTGTTGTAAGCGAGAAGAAGAGGCGTGTACTGTTGTATGCGAGAAAAAGAGGAGTGTACTGTTGTATGCGAGAGGAAGATGCGTGTACTGTTGTATGCGAGAGGAAGATGCGTGTACTGTTGTATGCGAGAGGAAGATGCGTGTACTGTTGATTGCGAGAAAAAGATGCGTGTACTGTTGTATGCGAGAGGAAGAGGCGTGTACTGTTGTATGCGAGAGGAAGATGCGTGTACTGTTGTATGCTAGAGGAAGATGCGTGTACTGTTGTATGCGAGAGGAAGATGCGTGTACTATTGTATGCGAGAAGAAGAGGCGTGTACTGTTGTATGCGAGAAGAAGAGGCGTGTACTGTTGTATGCGAGAGGAAGATGCGTGTACTGTTGTATGCGAGAGGAAGATGCGTGTACTATTGTATGGGAGAGGAAGATGCGTGTACTATTGTATGCGAGAAGAAGAGGCGTGTACTGTTTTATGCGAGAAGAAGAGGCGTGTACTGTTGTATGCGAGAAGAAGAGGCGTGTACTATTGTATGCGAGAGGAAGATGCGTGTACTGTTGTATGCGAGAAGAAGATGCGTGTACTGTTGTATGCTAGAGGAAGATGCGTGTACTGTTGTATGCTAGAGGAAGATGCGTGTACTGTTGTATGCTAGAGGAAGATGCGTGTACTGTTGTATGCGAGAGGAAGATGCGTGTACTGTTGTATGCGAGAAGAAGATGCGTGTACTGTTGTATGCGAGAAGAAGATGCGTGCACTGTTGTATGCTAGAGGAAGATGCGTGTACTGTTGTATGCTAGAGGAAGATGCGTGTACTGTTGTATGCGAGAGGAAGATGCGTGTACTGTTGTATGCGAGAGGAAGATGCGTGTACTGTTTTATGCAAGAGGAAGATGCGTGTACTGTTGTAAGCGAGAAGAAGATTCGTGTACTGTTGTATGCGAGAGGAAGATGCGTGTACTGTTGTATGCGAGAAGAAGATGCGTGTACTGTTGTATGCGAGAAGAAGAGGCGTGTACTGTTGTATGCAAGAAGAAGGTGCGTGTACTGTTGTATGCGAGAAGAAGATGCGTGTACTGTTGTGTGCGAGAAGAAGATGCGTGTACTGTTGTATGCGAGAAGAAGATGCGTGTACTATTGTATGTATTGTATATGTATAAAGGAGGTGGGGTGGGAGAAGTAAAAGAGAATAAAGAATGGTGACGTATAAAGGGTATCAGTGTGAGAAGGAGGAGAAAGAAAAGAAAAAAAAGAAGAAGACGGCCATGTTTGAACACAGTCATGGGCCTTGAGGCAATGTGTTGAGAATAGAGAGCAGTACAAGCCAGCTTGCTATCATTGTCATGGGCTGGCGGAACAGGCTTTGGAAAATAGAAACTGGTGTTCTCCGCTCGGAGTGACCTACATCGCCAGACATGACCCTCCTCCTCCTTCTTCTTGTTCTTAGCGCTTCCCTGCTGTAAACTCCAGATAAAGCTAGAGTTTAGTCGTTTTTGGAAACTTGATTTATGCCTGCAGATTTATTTGACAAAGCTAGCTGATTTGTATGCAGACTGTTGGTTCTTCGAAGACAACACCCCTACTTAGACGACGTTTTCAACATATTTGTTAGAGGGCAGCAGTGTGCCTCTTACCCCCCCCCCCTCCCCCCCCCCCACACACACACACACACACAAAGATGCCCTAGAAGAAACTACTGTATGATAAAGCGGATGTGGTGAAGGCTCTGCGAGATCAAGTGATCACTGCAACACAACAGACAGAACATCCTTGTCTGCAGAGAAAATCAGCTTTCAGTTAGTAGAGAACCTGGGAAATTTTCAGACGTAGAAATAAAATATAAATAATGTCCAATTTCTGAAATAGGAACAATGCCAACATTTATAAAATGTTATACAAGTGATTGTGTCGTGTGTGTACGAGTGTGTATGTGTGTGTGTGTGTGTGTACACAGATGTGTGTGTACCGTACGCTCATTAACTGTCAAAGAGTAGCTAACGCTACGTGAAGAATTGCTGCTGCAGACATTTGTGAGAGAATCAAACAACATTTCACCGAAGATGGGAAAACGGATGAAGAAATCAACACCATGTGCTGTCAAGCAAACCAACTATTGGGACAGCTAGCGTCCCTCTTAGGGCATAAGACAATCCCAGTCAGCACAAGAACACATCTCATATAAAGCATATTTATTCCCACCCTATGCTACAAGTGCCAGACGTGGTCACTTGCAATAAAACATAAAAGAACATTAGTAACATGGAAATGATTTCTGAGAAAGACTGTAGGAGTGACCAGAAGAGATAAAATCAGGAATAAGGTCATACGAGATAAAGTTGATACAGAACCAATTCTAAATTACATACTAAGAGTGCAAATCAAATGGTTTGTCCACTTGGAGAGAATGCTTTCTAATGCTATACCATACAAGGTATATACTACAAGAGGAGAGAGACGTAGATCAAGAGGTAGACCAAGAACAAGATGGAAAGATTACATCAGAGAAACTCTACGGCACTACGATGTGTCTATGGTCGAAACAGCCAGAAGTTCACGAATCAGGACTTTCATCGTCAGGCCTTGCTGACTCCACAATCTGCCATCCCCTGCAGCATGTATCAGTTCGCGTGCCGACACACCTCCATGCCATGCAACAAGACTCAAGAATCTTCTCTCGTTGTCTTCCTCTATCCCTCCTTCCACAGATCTTTCCAGTGGTCACAACATGTTCTATTTTCCCTCTTCTCATAACATGGCCGAAAAATTTTGACTGTCTCCATCTGATGTCTGTGATAAGTTGTCTTCGGGCTCCTGCCTCTTTCAAAACCTATTGGTTGCTCTTTTTGGCTGTCCAAGGTATTCTAAGCATTATATCTTATATCTCCCTCTTATACCTTATATCTACCTTTACACTTTACAAGCGGTAAAAGAGATCATAAAGAAGAAGAAGAAGAAGAAGAAGAAGAAGAAGAAGAAGAAGAAGAAGAAGAAGAAGAAGAAGAAGAAGAAGAAGAAGAAGAAGAGACATTGAAAACACATTTTTGTAATATCATTGAATGCAACCTGGAGAAGATATCACGAGACGAGAGAATAAGTTGGGGAGAACATGGGAGTAAGTTGTGGGCGAAGGCAAAAAATAGGTGGACTGTGGTGAGGGCATGTGGTTCATCCGTAGATCATGGAATGACGAATAATAATAATAATAATAATAATAATAATAATAATAATAATAATAATAATAATAATAGGAAGAAGATGACGCAGAGGAAGAAGAAGAAGAAGAGAAGAAGAAGTGGAAGTGTCCGTTAGAATCACATGTATGTACAGCTGGTTCTCTAGTCAGCGGAATACTGCAGTGACAACACCCGCCTCTATTCTCAGATTAGATGTCATTGTATCATACGCCATGGTTCCGAAGCCCCTTTGTCGCGGAAAACAGGAATCTACCCCCCCCCCCCCCCCCGGCTTCCCAATAAAGATATCATAAGAGTAGAATAACGGAAAAGAAAGGCGGGGTTTTCTTCAAAGTCGGAGTGCATCTGCCTGAGAGACAAGGAACACACAGTCAGGTCTGTAAAATGGACGTGCACGCAACACTCAATTTCTGGAAGAAGATTAAAGTCCACAGGTGGACCAACAACAAAAACTTACAGTGGGAGTTTACAGCCCGCAAACATAAAGAATGAGAAGAAGAAGAGGAAGGTTTGGTTGATATGAGTATGTCCACGTAGAGCATCGCGGTAGAATAGTGGCTAGACGCTCTCCTTCCGACCCTAAAGCCTTGGGTTTGTATCCACATCGAGGTGGATTTTAATTTTTTTTTAAATTAGTCTAATTTATTATTTATAGTTTTTACATGTCGACCCAGCCTAACTGCGGCGTCTGTGGCTTAGGCCTTGCGAGTCCGAGAAGTCATTCCAACGTATCGCGATCGAAATCCACTGCTGGCTGCGTTGATTTTTATCATGGTATCTGGCCTAGTAGTCTGGTAATCTTAGTTTCAGCTTCAATGCAAACGGGTCACCCCATCTTCGCTCCGCTCCTGTGCCAACGAAAAAACACAGAATGTTTATCACAGTCCCTTGTGGAAAGATTGACAGACTGCTGTCTCAGCATATTTAGCATACACACGCATTAAAGCATACGGTAGCCATCCGAAGTGCTAACACACACAGTCCGACACAAGAAATGCAGTTCATCATTGATGGTAGCAGAATTCACGAACAGATCAGCAGTTGCACACGCGATCATGGTATGGGCGTCGCAGGTCGACCCAGCCTAAAATGGGTACCAGGATGGCTGTCCTGGAGAAATCAAGACGGCCGGCGTATATTATAGTGGTGCCGATTGATCTGTAAAAATATGCGATGCTCTTCCCATATGCCCGATGCGCCTAAGGCGTGAAAAAAGAACTTTACTTACCCAGTCAAACTAAAAGGGAACCAATGCAGTCAGAGTGTTGTTGATCACATCACTGACAGAGTTACAAATTGTCTGTAATAGAATAAGAGTTTAGTATCACATACCCGATGCTCGAGTGGCCCATTAAAGGGGTCCTTTGTTAACATTGATTTCAAGAGTTAAATGGTAACGATAATTATTTTAATTTTGATACTAAAACGGCGAATGAATGTAAGTACTGCATCTGATGGTGAATGAAAACTTCCGGCGACTTCAAGTCTTTGTGGTTTGTCTGTTCTGACAACAATAGATGCAAGTTCTTCTTCATTAAAATCTTGGGCTTTGCTGCACAGAATGGTGAATCTCGCACTTCTTTTATTGCTTTTGTTTATGCATTAAAATCAGGGCTTGATTTGTGCATGATTATTTAAAAGAAAAAGCGTTAAAGTTATTGTCGGACTCGGTCAATTTGATCCTCTGTCCTCAACTCACTTCATCGTCCGCTGCTTAAATTTGTACTCATTTGTAGGTTAGGTTGGTCAGTTCAACTAGGTTGAGTAAGTAAAGAACGGGACTGAAGTGTGTGTGTCTTTCTGTGAATCAGTTTATTACACAATATCTAAACTATCCTGAGTCTTGCTTGCCAACATGGTAACAGTTTCCTGCTGGTACAACTTGAACTTGATGAGTTGAGGCCAAAACAAAATTGCCAAAACAAATCACAAACTAAAGACTAATAAAATCCCAGTTTTTAAAAAAATTGAAACATCTTGCAGAAATTAAAGATCGTTATTTCTGTGCTCACATTACCAACAAAATGTCTGCTTGTAGCAATAGTCTGTCTGTGCTCATGTTACCAACAGAATGTCTGACAGTAGCAATAGTAATAGTCTGTCTGTGCTCATGTTACCAACAGAATGTCTGCCAGTAGCAATAGTCTGTTTGTGATCTCATGTTACCAACAGAATGTCTGCCAGTTGAAATAGTCTGTCTGTGAACTGACGTTACCAACAGAACGTCTGCCAGTAGCAATAGTCTGTCTGTGCTCATGTTACCAACAGAATGTCTGCCAGTAGCAATAGTCTGTCTGTGATCTCACGTTACCAACAGAATGTCTGCCAGTAGCAATAGTCTGTCTGTGATCTGACATAACCAACAGAATGTCTGCCAGTTGCAATAGTCTGTCTGTGATCTGACATAACCAACAGAATGTCTGCCAGTTGCAATAGTCTGTCTGTGATCTGACATAACCAACAGAATGTCTGCCAGTAGCAATAGTCTGTCTGTGATCTCATGTTACCAACAGAATGTCTGCCAGTAGCACCAGTCTGTCTGTGATCTGACATAACCAACAGAATGTCTGCCAGTAGCAATAGTCTGTGATCTGTTGTTACCAACAGAATGTCTGCCCGTAGCAATAATTTACTATTGACAACATTAAAATTAACATCTGGGGGATGAGGTGCCTGAGAAAAGCTGCCAGCGTAACGATCCAAGTCTGAGTGAATCATTATGTTGTGAGACAAATTATGGAAACATTTTGCATCCAGTTCGTTGAGAAGCAGAAGATCAGATGGTTTAGTTATCTCGCTTGAATGCAGCTACAGCAACTGCCAACACAGGCGCTACACCTAGAACAGATCTGATTTAAGGAGAAGAGTGATGACAGAAGCCACTGCTAGGCAACACAGGCGCTACACCTAGAACAGATCTGATTTAAGGAGAAGAGTGATGACAGAAGCCACTGCTAGGCAACACAGGCGCTACACCTAGAACAGATCTGATTTAAGGAGAAGAGTGATGACAGAAGCCACTGCTAGGCAACACAGGCGCTACACCTAGAACAGATCTGATTTAGGGAGAAGAGTGATGACAGAAGCCACTGCTAGGTAGGCAACACAGGCGCTACACCTAGAACAGATCTGATCTAAGGAGAAGAGTGATGACAGAAGCCACTGCTAGGCAACACAGGCGCTACACCTAGAACAGATCTGATTTAGGGAGAAGAGTGATGACAGAAGCCACTGCCAGGCAACAAGTGTTGGACTGCAAACTGTTCATCTTCACAGCAAAAGTAGATGTTAATGATGATGATGTTGACAGTACCAAAAGCAATAATCTACCATTGAAAACATCTACATATGATTTAATTTCAGGAAGTAGATTTTGAGTCCAAGTGTGTGCAGGTCCCAAAAAACATTGCTGTGTTGTTGAATGATGGGATGTCTTCCGAATGGGTGCAGGCCTTAGTGTGAGTAGAATTTTGTGTCATCTTGATTGAATGTACTGTTTTTATTTGTTGAAATTGGTTGACTTTGTGGAATAGATTGGCTCATAATTGTTGTTAGAAATATGGATTACAGTTATTAAAGAACCAGTTTACAGTTGTTACAAATGGGTTTGGATTCATTGAGATACAACATTGGCAGATACTTTAAACATTAAAATAAAACTTCTCTTATATTGTAGTTTCATTGCATAAGTTTAAGGTCTTTATTATCGTGTTACTGCTAAGTATATCATAACATGTTGTTTTGTTTTAATCCATTTTATTTTAACTTTATTTCTGCAGTTCTGTCAAAAATGATGTCATTGGCAGCAACCGGGAGAAGATCCTAACCATTCAGCATGGCTTAGTACCAAGGTTCGACTCTCACTTTTTGATAGGTTTGATATGAATAGATGATTGGAAGGTTGATTGTGAACTTCTTCAACTCTTTCAGTACCAAGTGAGTTAAACCTGTAGGTTTAAACTACGGATCAACATCTTGGCACAAGGGTAGAAACCCATAAGTGCTCCATTCTACTTCTAACTCAAGCCTGAGTCCGAAGAATCTCAGCGCAGTGATTTGTAACTCCAAATTTAGCCTGGAAAGCGCCGTTAGGCCACGACCGGCTCCAGCTGACGGGCCGTGCTGCTGACGTCACCGGGTTGGGCTAACAATGCGTAAACGCAGCGGTTCCAAAACTGGGTGCAGAAGCACCCTGGGGTGCCGTGAGCATTTGCCAGGGGTGCCGCGGCAATATTCAAGAAAAGTCGGCTAGAAATTGTGAAATTATTAAAGAAGTCAATGTCGATACTTAAATGTTAAAATTTAAGTTGTCTTCCCTCGCCACTGTCGAAAATGGTTTATTTCTTGTTTAAGAACCGCTGCGTTAATGCATCGTTAGCCTGACTCAGTGACGCCAGCAGCACGGCCCGTCAGCTAAAGCCGGTCGTGGTTAGGCTACTCTTTTCAATTTTTAACTGCCAAGGGATTTTTTACATGCGCAAAAATACACACGGGGTCTGATCTTGATACCCAGAGACAGGGGGAAATTACTAAAGTCCATGAGGAAAAATCCCAGCCTTCACCTGGGCTTGAACCTGGGACTTCCAGCACTCAAGGCGGACACCATGCCCTGAGACCACACAACCCCCTATAAGCAATAAATACTAAGGTATAACAGAATTGAAAAGACTGTATAAGAAAATAGTAGTTAAAGTAATATTTTAGATACAAATGCTTTTATAAAACTTGTCTGTGATAGACAGCAAGAACATCACATTTTGGGAGGGGGGGGGGGGGGGGGGGGGGGGGGGGAACCAAGAAATACAGAGTGTGTTGTTTGGAAGTGAAAGAGTTTAGTCGGGCGCATTCATTTTTGTGTCATTTGATCCCTTAAAAGGACAACGTTTATGAGAGTGTGGTTGGCGTAGAAAGTTTCTTCTATCCCTGGTACGAAGGACCATTTGCAGAGCTTTCCCGTTTGTCGTCCTTATTTAGGATGGTGGCTGCATCCAAGAAACATGTTCCCAACTGGGAGCCTGGAAAATGTAGATAGGATACAATTTTCTTTTGAAGTAAGAACATTTGTGCTTGAGAGACAAGAAACCAAGAGTCTGCACACAACACTCAAATTCTAGAACAAGATCAGTGGTCAGAAGTGGATGAACAACCATGACTTTCTGCCAGAACTTACATCTGTAAATGCACATACCTATGATATTATTTGGCAGTCAGTGCTTGGGAGTTTTATTTCTCATGTGATTCCATGTTTTTCTGTGTGCAGACTGCTGAGATGGATCTCTGATGAGTCTGTCAGTGCGGATCTGAAGACAGAAAGTGCAATCATCCTGGGCAGCTTGTCTAAAGGGACCCCGGAGATTATCAGGAGTCTGATCAATGAGAAGACTGTGCCTGTTTTATTGAAGTGTGAGTGCTGGTCTACTCTCTTGACATTTCGTGTTACACACATAGTGATGGTGGCATCTTTCTTGCAGTTATAGTATCTCTCTGAGTATAGATATATCTCTCCACTTACAAATATGCTGGCTCCCCGATTACATATGTTTCCTCTGCTTACATATATATGTATCTTTCTGCTTACATGTATTTTGTGTCTGTACTTACAGATTTGGCATCTCTCTGCTTTCAAATGGGGTGAAGTTGTAGAGCCGTTAGCCTCGCGCTATGAAGGTCATGGGTTCATTTCACGGGCAAGCCATTCAGTTCCCTGTGGATTGTCTCTGGAGATTCAGAGTTTGTGTTTGGTGCAATGCTCTTGGCAGGCGTCTAGTCATTCTGTAGAGAAAGAGAGAGAGAGAGACCGAGCCATATGGGATAACCTGGGACATTAAGATCGATCCTGTCAACTTTAACTTATTATATTACTGATGTATCTCCCCAATTTCAGATCTGGCATCTCTACTTACAGATATAATATCTTCCCACTTACAGATATAATATCTCCCTACTCACAGATCGGGCCTATCTCTGCTTACACAAATAATGTCTCCCCAGTTACAGAACTGTCATCTTTCTTTTTACAAATATAATATCTTCCCACTTACAGAACTGGCATCTCTCTGCTTAGAGATATAATGTATCCACGCTTACCGATCTGGCATCTCTCTGCTTACAGTTTAATATCTCCATGCCTATAGATCTGGCATATCTCTACTTACAGATGTAACATCTCCCCGTTTACAGATCTGGCATCTCTCTGCTTACAGTTTAACATCTCCCCATTTACAGGTCTGGCATCTCTCTCTACTTACAGATGTAACATCTCCCCATTTACAGGTCCGGCGTCTCTCTCTACTTACAGATGTAACATCTCCCCATTTACAGGTCTGGCATCTCTCTCTACTTACAGATGTAACATCTCCCCATTTACAGGTCTGGTAGCTTCCTCTACTTAGAGATGTAACATCTCCCCATTTACAGGTCTGGCATCTCCCTCTACTTACAGATGTAACATCTCCCCATTTACAGGTCTGGCATCTCCCTCTACTTACAGATGTAACATCTCCCCATTTACAGGTCTGGTAGCTTCCTCTACTTAGAGATGTAACATCTCCCCATTTACAGGTCTGGCATCTCTCTCTACTTACAGATGTAACATCTCCCCATTTACAGGTCCGGCGTCTCTCTCTACTTACAGATGTAACATCTCCCCATTTACAGGTCTGGCATCTCTCTCTACTTACAGATGTAACATCTCCCCATTTACAGGTCTGGTAGCTTCCTCTACTTAGAGATGTAACATCTCCCCATTTACAGGTCTGGCATCTCCCTCTACTTACAGATGTAACATCTCCCCATTTACAGGTCTGGTAGCTTCCTCTACTTAGAGATGTAACATCTCCCCATTTACAGGTCTGGTAGCTTCCTCTACTTAGAGATGTAACATCTCCCCATTTACAGATCTGGCATCTCTCTCTACTTACAGATGTAACATCTCCCCATTTACAGGTCTGGCATCTCCCTCTACTTACAGATGTAACATCTCCCCATTTACAGGTCTGGTAGCTTCCTCTACTTAGAGATGTAACATCTCCCCATTTACAGGTCTGGCATCTCCCTCTACTTACAGATGTAACATCTCCCCATTTACAGGTCTGGTAGCTTCCTCTACTTAGAGATGTAACATCTCCCCATTTACAGGTCTGGTAGCTTCCTCTACTTAGAGATGTAACATCTCCCCATTTACAGGTCTGGCACCTCCCTCTACTTACAGATGTAACATCTCCCCATTTACAGGTCTGGTAGCTTCCTCTACTTAGAGATGTAACATCTCCCCATTTACAGGTCTGGCAGCTTCCTCTACTTAGAGATGTAACATCTCCCCATTTACAGGTCTGGTAGCTTCCTCTACTTAGAGATGTAACATCTCCCCATTTACAGGTCTGGTAGCTTCCTCTACTTACAGATGTAACATCTCCCCATTTACAGGTCTGGCACCTCCCTCTACTTACAGATGTAACATCTCCACATTTACAGATCTGGCATCTCCCTCTACTTACAGATGTAACATCTCCACATTTACAGATCTGGCATCTCTCTCTACTTACAGATGTAACATCTCCCCATATGAGTATCCCATTTGTAGTGAAGTTGAAACCTTGTTTGGGTGAGGGGGGAATAAGAATAGACCCACTGCTTCCCCAAGAAGCATGCCATAGGAGTCGACTAACTGGGGACATCGCTCGCAGTCGAAGAGGCAAGGAACAAGAGTCTGCATACAGATATGCCAGATGTGTGAACGGATGTGCACGCAGCACGGTTCTGTCAAAAACTGTCACTAATGTCTTATGTACCAATTTTTAGGGCGGAGTAGACAGAAAGGTCATGAGCCTGAGGATTTAGGATCGCACGGCTAGTGCTGTCGCCACGGACTGTACAAGTTAGGATGTTTAATTATGCACCCAATAGAAAAACTCTATCATATTATCGGGGGTCAAACCCGGGTCTCCCTCATGAAAGCCTGATGTTGTAACCGCTTGGCCAACCACATGTCTCAGATTCTGTAACAAAACTAAAGTCCGGAGGTTGACAAACACCCAGAACTTTCCACTGGAGTTTACAGCTGGTAAATGTGAAAAACAAGAAGAAATTAAAAAATGCTACGCTGGGCTTTGCCCATGGAGTCTATCAACATGGCCATCAGTTTTTGTTTAGAGCATGTCAATAAACAGAATTCTAGACTTTTTGCAAAGTTGTTTCAGTCAGGCTTGTTGTGGATAACAGAACTGTTTGTTATACTTTCAGCAATGACAAACCTGAACTTGCGATACACTGAAGCTATACTCAGATGCATGAGGTCCATTTTTCTTGTCAGTCCTGAATCTGTGGAGTGTCTCTACGAGGTATGGTTCAGTGCCAGTAGGCAGTATGTGGTTCAGTGTCTGTATGGGGTATGGTTAAATGTCTGTACAAGGTATGGTTCCATGTCTGTATGAGGTATGATTCAGTGTCTGTACAATTATGGTTCATTGTCTGTATGGGGTATGGTTCAGTGTCTGTACAAGGTATGGTTCAGTGTCTGTATGAGGTATGGTTCAGTGTCAGTACAAGGTATGGTTCAGTGTCTGTATAGGGTATGGTTCAGTGTCTGTATAGGGTATGGTTTAGTGAGTGTGTGTGTGAGGTATGGTTCAGTGTCAGTACAAGGTATGGTTCAGTGTCTATATGGTGTATGCTTCATTGTCTATATGGGGTATGGTTCAGTGTCTGTGTGGAGTATGGTATATTGTCTGTGTGGGGTATTGTTCAGTGTCTGTACAAGATAGGCTTCAGTGTCTGTATGTCTGAGGTATTGCTCAGTGTCTGTATGTCTGAGGTATTGCTCAGTGTCTGTACAAGGTAGGCTTCAGTGTCTGTACGTCCGAGGTATGGTTCAGTGTCTGTACAAAGAAGGCTTCAGTATCTGTACGTGCAAGGTATTGTTCAGTGTCTGTACAAAGTAGGCTTCAGTGTCTGTATGTGCGAGGTATTGTTCAGTGTCTGTACAAAGTAGGCTTCAGTGTCTATACGAGGTTTGCTTTTGTGTCTGTACAAGGTATGGTTCAGTGTCTGTACAAGGTATGGTTCAGTTTCTGTACAAGGTATGGTTCAGTGTCTGTACAAGATATGGTTCATTGTCTGTGCATGGTAGGGTTCAGTGTCTGTATGGGATATGGTTTAAAATCTGTACGAGTGATGATTCTGTGTCTGTACGAGATATGGCTCAGTGTCTATACAAGGTGTAGTTTAGTGTCCATGATGGTCTGAAAAGAATTTTGCAGCCTGGAGTGACCAACGATAGATCTGGCTAACACTTGATGCTTGGGTAAGGGGGTGAGACAGACATCCAGTCAGACTGTTACTCGTAACATCAGAATCGGAACTCTGCGCTTGCTGCTGAAGCTTATAGGTCTGTCCTGAGTTCTGTGATGTCTATTCTTGACTTACACTTGCCATTACATTTCATATTTTGTTGTTCTTTTTACTGTAAGATTGTATTGTGTTGTCTTTATTGTTATTTATGACATATTCTATATTTGTTTTTAAGTGTTGTCTCCTTTATTCTTTATGAGAGATTACATCTTTTGTTTATTGTGTAATCATTTTTCATTTTTTTTCACGGAATTCCATATTTGATTTATAATGTTGTCTTTATCCTTCTTGATGCAGATTCCATATTTTATTTGTAGTATTGAATTCACCATTCCTGATACCAGATTTCGTGTTGCACATAATAATTCCTTTGCTATTCCATTTGATATTTTTGATATTATAATTTGCTGGCTTCTCCTGTGTGCCAGGAACATCAGTTTGAGGGAACATACATTCCACACCTGCTGAGTTTGGTGCCTTGTTCAGTTGTGTGTCAGGAATGCATCAGCATCATCATCGAGAAAGCCTGTCTGGTAAGTAGATGTTCTCTTTTTGAAATTGCTCTATTTTCTCTAACTTGTGGTTGAGTCACTCTTCTTTGTTTTCGCTGAAAACAAAGTTCTAGAAGAACATTCAGGTTGTTCATCCACTTCCAGACTTGAACAGAAACTCCTAATTACTTGACCACATGTTTGTTAGGGGGCAGTTAGTCTTCAATCCCCCCACCCCCCTATTCCTTCCATCCTTCCCCAGTGGGGCCCCTGGAATGCATACAGGGATCATGGATTTGTCTCACAGACTACATTGTTAAGTTGATGAATGCAATTTTTATGGAGTTCCTGCTTTGAGCAGTGCTCTCGGCATGGGGTCATCATTCTGTGGATCTGGTCCGAGACATATGTGAAATCAAACCTGGTGCAGTGAAATCACTGCATTCCTCTTGACTGTAAAAACTTTTAAACAGAACCTAAGAGTAGCGCTCTTGTATTCCTCAGTTTAAATAAAACAGTTGCATGTGTTTTACAGGAGCTTGCAGACCAAGCCCCAGCATTTGTTGCCTGTTTGGTTTTACTAAGCAAATTTACAATCAGTAGTTGTTTGACATTGCTTTTTGAACATTTGCATTGTCAAAATCAGCATAAAGCAGTTTGTGACCAAATCATTCACAGCTTTAGTTATTGAAAAGAAAAGAAAAAGCATAAGTCGGATGTGTTATTCAAACCCCATTTTGTTAAAGGAACTGCATGATCTTGTTGTTTTATGCTGACAGACGAGAGAGCACCAGATGTATCTCCTGGAGAACAACACACTGAGTGTCCTGTCCCCGTTGCTGAGTTCGGAGTTCTACAAGGTGCAGATGCCCACCCTCAGATGTTTTGCCAACATGTGTTACAAGAATCCAGCTGTCTGTGCTGCCGTGGCCGCTGGTGGGTGCTTGTTGTAATAGTTGTTTCTTCTTTGTATTTGTGTGTGTGTGTTTGTGTGTATTTACCTTATATGACATTCGGCACGTTGTGGTTTACAGCTAGGCTGCAATACTAGTGCCTTTTCTACCCGGCACATTTTATTTCAAATCCTCAATTAGTCACCTTTTATAACATACTTGTGGGGGGGGGGGGGGTGGATCTGTTCCTTTATCCTCACAAAATGGAGTCCCAGATCTTCAGGAGCTAGTATTTTTAGTAGTCATTATTGGCTTCGTAGGTTAGTGATTTTAAAAAAAAAATGCTGAGATTCATCTGTTGAGTTATGAATGTCTCATCCCTGGGACATGCAGGAAGAAGTCACAATTAGAACTGTTTGTGCTGCTGAAAAGATAGTTTGTGGTGAAGAATAGGTTACAGTAAGTAAAGTAAAGTAAAGATCCCTTTTCACGCCTTTCGGCGCATCGGGCATATGGGCAGAGCGTCCCATATTTTTACAGACCATCAGCACTCTGTGGGTAATATGGTCAGCATTACGCCGGCTGTCTTAACTTTCCCAGGACAGCCCATCCTGGTACCCATTTTAGGCTGGGTCGACCTGCGACGTCCCATACCACGATAAAAATCCCCGCAGCCTGCAGTGGGTTTCGATCGCGGTATGCTGGCTTACGAGTCGGACTCGCAACGCCTTAGCCACGGACGCCGCATAGGTTACAGTGCCACCCATCAAAACAGACTTGCACAGATTGATAGTTACCCTGGGCCGAAGGTGTCGGGAATGGATATCTGGTGAAACAGAGTCAGCGGTGCAAGAACTCATCAATTAAAATTCACACCCTGGTGACATAATAATATATACAGATGGGTCTGTAGCGAGAGGTAAGAAGAATGGGCGGGGTTTTATTGGAAAGATGAATGGACACTGCTTGAAAACAGAGATATCGGTTTTATTGGAAAGATAAATGGACACTGCTTGAAAACAGAGATATGAGGAAAAGATATAAAACATCCAGTATGCAAATGGAGTTGGAGGCAGTAAGGGCATCTCATGACTTGAGCACAGCACAGCCCAACATGTTCTCATTGTAACAGACTCACAGAGCTTGCTTCAGGAAATTGAGACAGGTGACCTGCGTTCAGGGTGGCTTGCATCACTTAATAAGACCAAAATAGTAAAAAAAAAAAAAAAAAAAGCATATCAGGGATTTTCTGTCCATGAGATTCAGGTGTATGAGGTAACGAGCAGGCTGATAAATTAGCTGCTGCTAGTCTGGGAGGTGAGCTATTTTATGATAAAGTGAATGTGGTAAAGCCTCTATGGGATCAAATGGACATCTTCATCGCACATAGGACTTGACCACGGGTACTTAACTGCCACATTTGTTACATTCTGTGTTGCCATGTGGGATCTGTATGGTTTCTAACTGTCACATTTGTTGGTACATTCTGTGTTGCATGGGGACAGGTTGATGTGTATGTGGGATCTGTATGGTTTCTAACTGTCACATTTGTTACATTCTGTGTTGCCATGTGGGATCTGTATGGTTTCTAACTGTCACATTTGTTACATTCTGTGTTGTCATGTGAGAGACCTGTATGGTTTCTAACTGCCACATTTGTTACATTCTGTGTTTGCCATGTGGGATCTGTATGGTTTCTAACTGCCACATTTGTTACATTCTGTGTTGTCATGTGGGATCTGTATGGTTTCTAACTGTGACATTTGTTACATTCTGTGTTGTCATGTGGGATCTGTATGGTTTCTAACTGCCACATTTGTTACATTCTGTGTTGTCATGTGGGATCTGTATGGTTTCTAACTGTCACATTTGTTACATTCTGTGTTGTCATTGGGTCTGTATGGTTTCTAACTGCACTTTTGTTACATTCTGTATGGTTTCTAACTGTCACATTTGTTACATTCTGTGTTGCCGTGTGGGATCTGTATGGTTTCTAACTGCCACATTTGTTACATTCTGTGTTGCCATGTGGGATCTGTATGGTTTCTAACTGCCACATTTGTTACATTCTGTGTTGCCATGTGGGATCTGTATGGTTTCTAACTGCCACATTTGTTACATTCTGTGTTGCCATGTGGGATCTGTATGGTTTCTAACTGTCACATTTGTTACATTCTGTGTTGCCATGTGGGATCTGTATGGTTTCTAACTGTCACATTTGTTACATTCTGTGTTGTCATGTGAGATCTGTATGGTTTCTAACTGCCACATTTGTTACATTCTGTGTTGCCATGTGGGATCTGTATGGTTTCTAACTGCCACATTTGTTACATTCTGTGTTGTCATGTGGGATCTGTATGGTTTCTAACTGTCACATTTGTTACATTCTGTGTTGTCATGTGAGATCTGTATGGTTTCTAACTGCCACATTTGTTACATTCTGTGTTGCCATGTGGGATCTGTATGGTTTCTGACTGCCACATTTGTTACATTCTGTGTTGTCATGTGAGATCTGTATGGTTTCTAACTGCCACATTTGTTACATTCTGTGTTGCCATGTGGGATCTGTATGGTTTCTAACTGCCACATTTGTTACATTCTGTGTTGCCATATGGGATCTGTATGGTTTCTAACTGCCACATTTGTTACATTCTGTGTTGCCATATGGGATCTGTATGGTTTCTAACTGCCACATTTGTTACATTCTGTGTTGTCATGTGAGATCTGTATGGTTTCTAACTGCCACATTTGTTACATTCTGTGTTGTCATGTGAGATCTGTATGGTTTCTAACTACCACATTTGCTACATTCTGTGTTGCCATGTGAGATCTGTATGGTTTCTAACTACCACATTTGTTACATTCTGTGTTGTCATGTGGGATCTGTATGGTTTCTAACTGCCACATTTGTTACATTCTGTGTTGCCTTGTGGGATCTGTATGGTTTCTAACTACCACATTTGTTACATTCTCTGTTGCCATGTGGGATCTGTATGGTTTCTAACTGCCACATTTGTTACATTCTGTGTTGCCTTGTGGGATCTGTATGGTTTCTAACTACCACATTTGTTACATTCTCTGTTGTCATGTGGGATCTGTATGGTTTCTAACTGCCACATTTGTTACATTCTGTGTTGCCATGTGGGATCTTTATGGTTTCTAACTGCCACGTTTGTTACATTCTGTGTTGCCTTGTGAGATCTGTATGGTTTCTAACTGCCACATTTGTTACATTCTGTGTTGCCATGTGAGATCTGTATGGTTTATAACTGCCACATTTGTTACATTCTGTGTTGCCATGTGAGATCTGTATGGTTTCTAACTGCCACATTTGTTACATTCTGTGTTGCCTTGTGGGATCTGTATGGTTTCTAACTGCCACATTTGTTACATTCTGTGTTGCCATGTGAGATCTGTATGGTTTCTAACTGCCACATTTGTTACATTCTGTGTTGTCATGTGGGATCTGTATGGTTTCTAACTGCCACATTTGTTACATTCTGTGTTGCCTTGTGGGATCTGTATGGTTTCTAACTACCACATTTGTTACATTCTCTGTTGCCATGTGGGATCTGTATGGTTTCTAACTGCCACATTTGTTACATTCTGTGTTGCCATGTGGGATCTGTATGGTTTCTAACTGCCACATTTGTTACATTCTGTGTTGCCATGTGGGATCTGTATGGTTTCTAACTACATTTGTTACATTCTGTGTTGTCATGTGGGATCTGTATGGTTTCTAACTGCCACATTTGTTACATTCTGTGTTGTCATGTGGGATCTGTATGGTTTCTAACTGTCACATTTGTTACATTCTGTGTTGCCTTGTGGGATCTGTATGGTTTCTAACTGTCACATTTGTTACATTCTGTGTTGCCGTGTGGGATCTGTATGGTTTCTAACTGCCACATTTGTTACATTCTGTGTTGCCATGTGGGATCTGTATGGTTTCTAACTGCCACATTTGTTACATTCTGTGTTGCCTTGTGGGATCTGTATGGTTTCTAACTGTCACATTTGTTACATTCTGTGTTGCCATGTGGGATCTGTATGGTTTCTAACTGTCACATTTGTTACATTCTGTGTTGCCATGTGGGATCTGTATGGTTTCTAACTGCCACATTTGTTACATTCTGTGTTGCCATGTGGGATCTGTATGGTTTCTAACTGCCACATTTGTTACATTCTGTGTTGCCATGTGGGATCTGTATGGTTTCTAACTGTCACATTTGTTACATTCTGTGTTGCCATGTGGGATCTGTATGGTTTCTAACTACCACATTTGTTACATTCTGTGTTGTCATGTGGGATCTGTATGGTTTCTAACTGTCACATTTGTTACATTCTGTGTTGCCATGTGGGATCTGTATGGTTTCTAACTGCCACATTTGTTACATTCTGTGTTGCCTTGTGGGTGCTAAAGTGTTTCCCTTTCAAGCTTGCTTGCTTTCATGACTTTTATCTGATCAGTTTACTGTGTAAATTTTTTAAATTTGTATATTTCTTCTAGTTACATTTATTTCCTTTAGTATGTTACAGTATGTTTCACTATCTTGTCTTCTTTGTAGTCAAAGAACAAACTTACCACATTATTGTTCCCAAGAGAATCTTCAAATCTCAGCTAAAAACAGATTTTTTTAGGGTTTTTGTTTTTGTTTCCTCAGAACCAAATCTGATTCAAGTTTTTGTAGAGCTGATGGCCAGAGACAAACCATCAGAAATGCAAATGGCTGCAGCGAAAGTCCTGACCTACTTACACCGGGGTGGAGCAATACCAGCGACCGATCCCATCATTAGTCGAAAGGTATGGCTGTCACAGATCAATCATATCTATCTAATACTTTCTAAACATTTGTCTAATCTGAAAACTGCTTCATAAACAGCATCATATTGTGGAAACTGAAATACTTTGGTGGAGATATTATATCTCTTCCTTGAATTGACAAGTGCAAGTATTAAAATAATGAGATATAAGAAGATGAATTTAATATAATTTCTAGTATTTGTTTCAGCAGTTATCAGACTTTGACCATCAAATAAAACCTATTTTCCTATATTTGTTCTACTAAATACAGAATTAAGTAATAAACAAATATTCTATAAGAATTTCATATTTCAATCATCCCAACTATAATTTGTAATTGTTTGCAGACTCTAGGAACTCTGGCAAGGATGTGCAAACGAGACAGACCTTTAGAAGAAAATGTCAAGGGGGCAGAAACTCTGGCATACCTGGTGGAGGCCGACCCTGATCTTCAAGCAATCGCCAGCATCACCGATCACCTGATCAGTGTCCTGGCCAACTACTTGACCTACAAGGACGTCAAGAAGGTTTCCTCATCTGATCAAAAAGTAGGTTGAATTCTGAATCATTTCTTTCGAATATTATTTAATAATAACTATCTTGTCAGCTTCATGAGATAAGCTCTATTACGTATTATCATCACCTTTCTGTCTCTCCAGATGCATTACTGTATTGTGTTACACGGTTCCGTGGATCAAGTATTTCCTCTCCAGGCACAAATCCTAGGCAGTATTTTAACTGACCAGGTGTTGCCTAAGCAGCGTGATCCCTGCCTCAGTCAGCCTTATTTTCTCTAAAGGAAAGATAACACCAGTACATTTTGAACAGAGCATGCTGCTGAAAAGAAGAGCAGTAGTCGCCCAAAATTCATTGTTAACAGAGAAAGTTAATACCAGCTGCTGCTATACCGTAACTCAGTCATATCAGACGAAGTTAACAGAGAAAGTTAATACCAGTGACTGCTATACCGGTCATATCAGACAAAGTTAACAGAAAGTTAATACCAGTGACTGCTATACCGGTCATATCAGACGAAGTTAACAGAGAAAGTTAATACCAACGACTGCTATACTGTAACTCAGTCATATCAGACAAAGTTAACAGAGAAAGTTAATACCAACGACTGCTATACTGTAGCTCAGTCATATCAGACAAAGTTAACAGAGAAAGTTAATACCAGTGACTGCTATACTGTAGCTCAGTCATATCAGACAAAGTTAACAGAGAAAGTTAATACCAACGACTGCTATACCGTAACTCAGTCATATCAGACAAAGTTAACAGAGAAAGTTAATACCAGCGACTGCTATACTGTAGCTCAGTCATATCAGACAAAGTTAACAGAGAAAGTTAATACCAACGACTGCTATACCGTAACTCAGTCATATCAGACAAAGTTAACAGAGAAAGTTAATACCAGCGACTGCTATACTGTAGCTCAGTCATATCAGACAAAGTTAACAGAGAAAGTTAATACCAGCGACTGCTATACTGTAACTCAGTCATATCAGACAAAGTTAACAGAGAAAGTTAATACCAGCGACTGCTATACCGTAACTCAGTCATATCAGACAAAGTTAACAGAGAAAGTTAATACCAGTGACTGCTATACTGTAGCTCAGTCATATCAGACAAAGTTAACAGAGAAAGTTAATACCAGCGACTGCTATACTGTAACTCAGTCATATCAGACAAAGTTAACAGAGAAAGTTAATACCAGCGACTGCTATACCGTATCTCAGTCATATCAGACAAAGTTAACAGAGAAAGTTAATACCAGCGACTGCTATACTGTAGCTCAGTCATATCAGACCAAGTTAACAGAGAAAGTTAACACCAGCGACTGCTGTACCGTAACTCGGTCATATCAGACAAAGTTAACAGAGAAAGTTAATACCAGTGACTGCTATACCATAACTCGGTCATATCAGACAAAGTTAACAGAGAAAGTTAATACCAGTGACTGCTATACCATAACTTGGTCATATCAGACAAAGTTAACAGAGAAAGTTAATACCAGAGACTGCTATACTGTAGCTCAGTCATATCAGACAAAGTTAACAGAGAAAGTTAATACCAGCGACTGCTATACTGTAGCTCAGTCATATCAGACAAAGTTAACAGAGAAAGTTAATACCAGCGACTGCTATACCGTAACTCAGTCATATCAGACAAAGTTAACAGAGAAAGTTAATACCAGTGACTGCTATACTGTAACTCAGTCATATCAGACAAAGTTAACAGAGAAAGTTAATACCAGTGACTGCTATACTGTAACTCAGTCATATCAGACAAAGTTAACAGAGAAAGTTAATACCAGCGACTGCTATACTGTAGCTCAGTCATATCAGACAAAGTTAACAGAGAAAGTTAATACCAGCGACTGCTATACCGTAACTCAGTCATATCAGACAAAGTTAACAGAGAAAGTTAATACCAGTGACTGCTATACTGTAACTCAGTCATATCAGACAAAGTAAACAGAGAAAGTTGATACCAGCGACTGCTATACTGTAACTCAGTCATATCAGACAAAGTTAACAGAGAAAGTTGATACCAGCGACTGCTATACTGTAACTCAGTCATATCAGACAAAGTTAACAGAGAAAGTTAATACCAGCGACTGCTATACTGTAACTCAGTCATATCAGACAAAGTTAACAGAGAAAGTTAATACCAGCGACTGCTATACTGTAGCTCAGTCCTATCAGACAAAGTTAACAGAGAAACTTAACACCAGCGACTGCTGTACGAAAGCTCAGTTATATCAGACAAAGTTAACAGAGAACTGTTAGTATTAACTACTCAGCTCAGTCATATCTGACCAAAACATGACATACACTACAGTCCAAGCATAATAATAAACTCTGTAGAAAGTTAATGCAACATACAACTTGTAAAACTCATTCAAAGTCAGTTACATAAAACATAATGTAATCCTCGACCTGATAGGATCGTGAAGTGGAGTCGATGGAAGCACTGACACACAAAACCTGCCATCTTTCTTTGTTTTCCACTTGTTGAATAAGTCTATGATAACTTAGTCCTGTCTATTTCTTCTTCTTCTTCTTCTTCTTTTGTCAAAATCTGCTTGTGCCGCTAGGCGTCGCAGTCGATCAGATGATCAGCAACCGAGCCAGGGCACGCTCAGTTGCTTTATATGCCGTGATGTTATGAAGTCTCAAGTTGTCCGTGACTCCTTCAATCCATCTTCTTCTTGGTCTTCCCCTGCCTCTTGGTGTTTCGATTTTCATGTTGTATGCTCTTGATGCTGGCATCGTTGGTTCCTTCTCACTAGGTGACCAAACCATTTCATTCTTTGCTTCTCAATAAATTTAACGATGGGTATGGTTCCAATAGTTCTTGTAATCACATCGTTTCTCACTCAATCTCTTCTGGTTTTATTCGCAGCCATTCTCAAACATCTCATTTCACAGGTAGTTAGTCTTCTCTCGTGTTCTTTTGTTAATGTCCAAGTCTGACATTGATAACCTAATGTCGGTATAAAGATTGTATTTATAATTTGTCTTTTTATCTCAGCTGGGACAGCAGGGTGTTTTAAAATTGGGGCAAGCTGGTATGCGACATTGTTGGCTTGTTGGATTCTTGCTTCGATCTCTCTGTCTATTTTACCATTGAATATAAAGAATTTAAATTCTTGCACTTGTTTTAGGCTGTGATCTAGAATCTTTATGTTGATGGTCTGTTGCTCTCTACTTATGCTCATGACTTCTGTCTTTTCAGTATTAATCTTCATATGATGCTTGAGGCAACTGTCGTGTAGTAGGTTTATGTGGTCTTGCAGCTGTTTACTATCACTGTGAAAAATGCACTGATCGTCGGCAAAGAGCAGCTCATTGAAGTCCTCCTGTTTATCGACATCTGTTGGTGTTATGTCTATTTTATTAATATTGTCCATAAATATTATGAAAAGTAAAGGTGATAATACACAACCTTGTCTTACTCCTGATGTTACTGGGAACCAGTCTGTGATGCCAGCTCTTGTTCTAATGGCGCTTTCACTTTGTCTATAAATAGCCCTAACACAATCTAAAATTGTTCCATTTATACCATAGTTTTCAAGAACTTTCCATAATAGATTTCTGTTTACTCTTTCGAAAGCTTTTTCTTGATCTATGAAGTCTATTTCTTGATGTTGTTATTTCAGTCTCTTCTTTGCTTTCCTATTTTTTGACTTCCCTCTAATGTTCCTTGAAGTCTTGTCTTTGCAGTCAGATCATGTCTCATCACATGCCGGAACCAAGTTAGTTTACAACATTTGACCACATGCCAGAACCAAGCTAGTTTACAACATTTGACCTCTGTCAATAGAGGCTCCTGATTTCCTGCAGAGTTGTTTTATTTCGTTTCTAAAATATTTGTTATTTTTATGTTCTAAATAACTAATTCGTAAAATGTGTCTATAGCATTTACATTCAAAAGCCTGAATTGCCCTTTCTATTTCCACAGTACATAAGATATTTAAAGATTTCAACTTCTAGTTTTCTTTTTATCTGTATGTTGGTAGGTACTTGACTATTGTGGCTCAATAAAGTCAGTTACATTTCAGTCAGTTTACAATTCTGTGTACAAATAATTTGAAGTGAGTCGGTAAAATTAATAAGGAGTTGATACAGCTTTTTCTTCTTATTGTCCTTGTTATATGTGAGACAGATGCTCCTGTATGTGCTAAACTAATTCCTTGCTGTATGTGTTGTCATGTCTCCCCTCATCCTTCTGTCTCATGTACTGCCAGTCTTGTGAGACACAGATGCTCCTGTGTGTGCTAAACTAATTCCTTGCTGTATGTGTTTGTTGTCATGCCTCCCCTCATCCTTCTGTCTCATGTACTGCCAGTCATGTGAGACAGAGATGCTCCTGTATGTGCTAAACTAATTCCTTGCTGTATGTGTTTGTCGTCATGCCTCCCCTCATCCTTCTGTCTCATGTACTGCCAGTCATGTGAGACAGATGCTTCTTTGTGTGTGCTAAACTAATTCCTTGCTGTATGTGTTTGTCATCATGTCTCCCCTCATCCTTCTGTCTCATGTACTGCCAGTCATGTGAGACAGATGCTTCTTTGTGTGTGCTAAACTGATTCCTTGCTGTATGTATTTGTCGACATGTCTCCCCTCATCCTTCTGTCTCATGTACTGCCAGTCATGTGACACAGATGCTCCTGTGTGTGTGCTAAACTGATTCCTTGCCATATGTGTTTGTTGTTGTGTCTCCCCTCATCCTTCTGTCTCATGTACTGCCAGTCATGTGAGACAGATGCTTCTTTGTGTGTGCTAAACTGATTCCGTGATGTATGTGTTTATCGTCATGTCTCCCCTCATCCTTCTGTCGCATGTACTGCCAGTCACGTGAGACAGATGCTCCTGTGTGTGCTAAACTAATTCTGAAACTTGTTTCTGAAGGAAGTTGACTGGGGCTGTGAGATGAAGAGAGCAGCCTATCTGGCATTCGCTTCGGTGTGTGCTAATGACGAGGAGATCAGGGACAAGGTACGCAGTTGTGTAAGTGAGAATATTTCGGTGTGTACGTGACAATGTTCCTATGTGTATTTGATTAGAAACAGGAACCAAAGAGTCAGCGGTATGATATCACATCATCTAACATTAAAGGTAGAGACTGCTGTTGGAAGATTTCCTGTGGTTGGAGGCTAGTGCAGCCTGTCATTATTATATTTACAGCAGACTCGCTGAGTCTACTTTGAGAAATAGATTCTTTTATTTTACTCATGAATTCTCCAATGCTGCTAACAGAGAAGCTATCTAGCCAGTTTGAACTTCATGCTGGGTGGTACAGACTGAAATCTGAACTGCACGATAGCTTTCATAAAGGCTACTGGCCTTTAGTATAAGTGACAGAAGGATATAAGCAGACGCAGAGAAGACTCATGAATTGCTTCCATTATTTGACGGGACTCTAGCAGGAGCACATTATGGAATTTCTATTTAGGAAATACAGGTGTGTGGGGAAGTGAGCGGGCTGATAGATTGGCTGCTGGTTTTGCCAACTACTGTGTGCTAGAATGGATGTGGTGAAGGTTCTCTGAGATTAGACTGTGCAGTGTAACTGAGTATCCTCATCTGGTGAGACTCATTCAGCAGGGAGAGAGAGGAGAATCCTGATGACACTGCCTGCACTTTGAATGACGTCTGGACTCTCAGCTCCCTCAGAGTGCAGAGAACTGTTCAGTCTGCCACTGACACAGTCAGCACTGGCTGCTGAAAAGGGGGATGGATTATGTGTGGGACGTCCCTAGTGCAGTGATATCAGTTCCTGGCTGACTGTTGATGACCTGTGTGTGTACGTTGGTTTTGTTGTTTTTGTTGTAAGTATTTGCCTGTGTCTTCATCTTCTTGACCTCTATCCCATCAGGTGATCAAGAAAGAAGGACTGATAGAACAGATCCTAGCTTCCATGAACAGTGTCAATGAGGGTGAGGTGGCAGCAAGCCTCCGGTGCCTGCAGTCCCTGACACGGTCTGTCCAGCAGATCAGGACCGTGTTAAATGACAACGCAGTCTGGAAACCACTTATCCAGGTATGTGGCCAGTTGAGGTAGCAGGGTGTCTCCGCCGTATGCTCAGTGTTGCTGTAGATCAAGCGTACAGCATCATTGTTATGTTGTTTGTTACTAATGCTTAAATGGAAGAAAAGAACAGTAACATTATAGCCATGCATGTCATAAAAGGCAGCTAAGAAGGATTGGTGGGATATTGGCTACCTCATCATGCAGAAAACATTAGCTGCAAAATCCAACCTAGCAGAATCACTTCCACAGAAGGATGATGTGGGAGTTGATTAATAGTTTGCGCTCTGTTGGTAGATAATGATCAGAAGAAGAAAAACATCTCCTAGATGGAGGAGATACTAGTGTGTTGACTGCACGCCTATGCTCTGTAGGTAGATAATGATCAGAGGAAGAAAAACATCTAGATGGAGAGATACGTGTGTTGACTGCTTGCCTATGCTCTGTTGGTAGATAATGATCAGAAATGACAAACTATGAACTAATCCCTTGTCTCTATGTTTCACAGACAGTCAAATGACAGTTGTAAAAATCACAAACTATAAAATAATTCCTTATCTCCGTTTCACAGATAGGTAAATGACAGTTGTAAAAAATAACAAACTGTGAACTAATTCCTTGTCTATATGTTTCACAGACAGTCAAATGACAGTTGTAAAAATGACAAACTATGAACTAATTCCTTGTCTATATGTTTCACAGACAGTCAAATGACAGTTGTAAAAATGACAAACTATGAACTAATTCCTTGTCTATATGTTTCACAGACAGTCAAATGACAGTTGTAAAAATGACAAACTATGAACTAATTCCTTGTCTCTATGTTTCACAGACAGTCAAATGACAGTTGTAAAAATGACAAACTATGAACTAATTCCTTGTCTATATGTTTCACAGACAGTCAAATGACAGTTGTAAAAATGACAAACTATGAACTAATTCCTTGTCTATGTTTCACAGACAGTCAAATGACAGTTGTAAAAATGACAAACTATGAACTAATTCCTTGTCTATATGTTTCACAGACAGTCAAATGACAGTTGTAAAAATGACAAACTATGAACTAATTCCTTGTCTATATGTTTCACAGACAGTCAAATAACAGTTGTAAAAATGACAAACTATGAACTAATTCATTGTCTATATGTTTCACAGACAGTCAAATGACAGTTGTAAAAATGACAAACTATGAACTAATTCCTTGTCTATATGTTTCACAGACAGTCAAATGACAGTTGTAAAAATGACAAACTATGAACTAATTCCTTGTCTCTATGTTTCACAGACAGTCAAATGACAGTTGTAAAAAATAACAAACTGTGAACTAATTGTCTCCATGTTTCACAGACAGTCAAATGACAGTTGTAAAAATGACAAACTATGAACTAATTCCTTGTCTCTATGTTTCACAGACAGTCAAATGACAGTTGTAAAAAATAACAAACTGTGAACTAATTGTCTCCATGTTTCACAGACAGTCAAATGACAGTTGTAAAAATGACAAACTATGAACTAATTCCTTGTCTCCATGTTTCACAGACAGTCAAATGACAGTTGTAAAAATGATAAACTATGAACTAATTCCTTGTCTCTATGATGTTTATACGCTTGCTTCCACAGATGGTGCAGTCTAACAACCGAGAAATTATGGTTCTTGCCATGACTTGTTTATGCAATCTGGCCTTAGATTTTAGCCCCAGCAAAGATGTAAGTTATTTAGTTAATTTTGTTATTATTTCTAATTAACTTTTTCAAATGTACTTTTTTTCTTCTTCTTAGTGTTTTCCGGATGTATAAATTCTGGTGGAAATTCCTGGGTTGTTCGTTCATTTCTGGACTTTAGTCTTGTTCCAGAATGTGACTTTTACTTGCATATTCGTTTCACAGATTCACCTTATTTTTTTTTGCAGACTATGTTGTTTACTCATTGTTGCGAAATAGCTTGCAGTATCACGTCACTGTATGTACCATTTCACCAACTACCAAGTGTCTAGGGTTTATGATTGAGGCCATTGTTTTCTGGGTGTAGCACTAGTAAAGTCAACTAGAAACACCAGCAACTGCTTAACACTTTCCTAACTATTAATCTGGGGCTTTACTGTCTTCCATTACCAAGGGTGTTTAGAGATTATTTGTTTTAAATGACTGGTTTTCTAATAAAATTCATAAAAAAATCAAAAACGAGTGTAGGGTTTTGAAACCTTCAGAGTACCGTCATGAATGGTTGCTACACATGACAAAAAGATATATTAGTCAAATATGTCGCATGATCAAGGTGGCCATTTTGAATTTGTTTGGCTGTCAATAGAAATTTCAGGAGATGTTTTATAACATCATCACCCCCGTGTGGGTTCCGGGGCCCCATTGTGGGAAAAACAAGGATAGACCCACTGCCTCCCCAAAAGCATGTCGTAAGAGTCGACTAATTGAGGAGCTTCCTTTGAAGTCAGAGTGCATCTGCCGGAGAGGCAAGGAACCAACAGTCTGTATTCAAGAGAATGAGATCTGTAAAACTGATGCACACGCAACACTCAGGTTCTGGAGCAGGACTGCAGTTCAGTAGTGAACGAGCAACCAGAACTTTCCGCCAGAGTTTACAGCTGGTGAACGTGAAGAAGAAGAAGAAGATAACATCATCTTTTTCCAGTTCTTAGTGAATTTGTTCAATGTCAGTGCAATCAAATGTTGGAGACATGGTTGATGATGAATAAAATTGGCTAAACAGGAGCAGTTATCTAACGGCTGACCTAATATTTCAACATTAAAAGTGAATAAAAATGGGAATAAAGTGAGAAAGAAAAAATCTGTGGTCTATAATGTGTTACATTGTGACCTGTGGTCTATAAGGTGTTACATTGTGACCTGTGGTCTATAAGGTGTTACATTGTGACATGTGGTCTATAAGGTGTTACATTTTGACCTGTGGTCTATAAGGTGTTACATTTTGACCTGTGGTCTATAAGGTGTTACATTTTGACCTGTGGTCTATAAGGTGTTACATTGTGACCTGTGGTCTATAAGGTGTAATATTGAGACCTGTGGTCTATAAGGTGTTACATTGTGACATGTGGTCTATAAGGTGTTACATTGTGACATGTGGTCTATAAGGTGTTACATTGTGACATGTGGTCTATAAGGTGTTACATTGTGACCTGTGGTCTATAAGGTGTTACATTGTGACATGTGGTCTATAAGGTGTTACATTGTGACATGTGGTCTATAAGGTGTTACATTGTGACCTGTGGTCTATAAGGTGTTACATTGTGACATGTGGTCTATAAGATGTTACATTGTGACCTGTGGTCTATAAGGTGTTACATTGAGACCTGTGGTCTATAAGGTGTTACATTGAGACCTGTGGTCTATAAGGTGTTACATTGTGACCTGTGGTCTATAAGGTGTTACATTGTGACATGTGGTCTATAAGGTGTTACATTGTGACATATGGTCTATAAGGTGTAACATTGAGACCTGTGGTCTATAAGGTGTTACATTGTGACATGTGGTCTATAAGGTGTTACATTGTGACATGTGGTCTATAAGGTGTTACATTGTGACCTGTGGTCTATAAGGTGTTACATTGTGACGTGTGGTCTATAAGGTGTTACATTGTGACATGTGGTCTATAAGGTGTTACATTGTGACCTGTGGTCTATAAGGTGTTACAGCAGGTCCTACCTACAAGAGCAAGACTGACATCCCCCCGAACCTCTTCTGTATCTGTGTGTGTGTCTGTATCTCTCTGTGTGTCAGCGTGTATGTCTGTCTGTGTGAATGTGTGTCTGCATGTGTTTTTGCCTGTGTGTGTTTGCGTGTATCTGTGTGTATGTTTGTATGTCTGCGTGTGTATGTTTCTGTGTGAGTATCAGCGTGCGTGTGTGTGTCTCGATTGTGTGTTTGTGTTTCTGCATGTGTGTCTATGTGTGTACGTCTGTGTGTGGGCCTGTCGGCTATGTGTGTGTCTACGTATGTTTGTGCATGTGTGTCTATGTGTGTGTGTGTCTACAGGTTGTGTGTCTGTGTGTGTGTAGCTATGTGTGTTTGTGTCTTCGCACATGCGTGGGTGTGTCTGTGCGTATATATGTATGTGTGTGAAATGTGTGTTTTGTGTATGTATGTATATGAATATATGTGGGTGTGTATGTGTGAATGTATGTGGGTGTATGCAAGTTAAAGTGAGTGTGTAGGCACGTGTATGTGGGTATACGTGTGTGTGTGTACCTGCGCTAGAGTGCGCATGCATTTCATCACCCATACTTTTGTGTTTTTTTCTTGATATTCACAATATGCATATTATTATATTAGCACAACATGCTTTACTGATAAAATACAACTGCTGTGTGAAAAGTGGGTGTTTGGAAGGGCTGAATGTAAGATGGGCCTGCTTGCCTAATTTGGGACTTTTAAAAAATAAAGTTCATTCATTTGTTCATTCCTTCTTTGCTGTGATCTTAATTCAGAGTTGGCAGTGTTGTAGCTTATATGTTTATTGACCACAGCAGTGTCAACAAATAAATACATGAATTCGCTGATCGTTGAAGTTGGTCAGCAAAGTGTGAACAATTATACATCACTCAAGGTTTGATTTACTAGTGTATTCAGTCTTGTTTAATATGGATAAACACATGACAAAAATGAAAAGGTGATGTCAGATGAACTACTGGAAGTCTCTCTGTCGCTGTCATTCGACTAATGGATCACTCACTCAAAAATTATAGCAGCATCACACTAGCAAGTCGTTTGCCGATATACCGACAGAAAGTCTGAACAGTTGCCAGTCAACCACTTGAATGTTGGCAAGGTTCACACCTAACAACACAAGCAATGATACTGCTATAGTGTTAGACATTTTTCTGATATCAGGTCATAGATTCATGAAGTGGGATGACCTGTTTACTGCTTGACAAGGGAAACAATCATAATTGATTTCAGCATGTTTGTGAGTTGCAGGCCCTGTTACAGAATAACGCGGTGGGATGACCTGTTTACTACTTGGCAAGGGAAACAATCATAATTGATTTTAGCATGTTTGTGAATTACAGGCCCTGTTACAGAATAACGCAGTGGAGTTCTTGAGTCAGTGCAGCAGCAGTACAGACAACACAGTCCGCCTCAATGCCGTATGGGCCATTATGGTAGGTGTGCTACAACACAGTAGGTGTGTGGAAGATGTACAGGAAAGATGTATGGGAGATTTGTAGTAAAGGTGTGTGGGAGATGGGCAGGAAAGTTGTATGGCAGATTTGTAGTAAAGGTGTGTGGGAGATGTGTATGGGAGTTTGTAGTAAAGGTGTGTGGGAGATGTGCAGGAAATGTGTATGGGAGGTTTGTAGTAAAGGTGTGTGGGAGATGTACAGGAAAGGTGTATGGGAGATTTATAGTAAAGGTGTGTGGGAGATGTGCAAGAAAGTTGTATGGGAGATTTGTAGTAAAAATGTGTGGGAGATGTGTATGGGAGTTTGTAGTAAAGGTGTGTGGGAGATGTGCAGGAAATGTGTATGGGAGGTTTGTAGTAAAGCTGTGTGGGAGATGTACAGGAAAGGTGTATGGGAGATTTATAGTAAAGGTGTGTGGGAGATGTGCAAGAAAGTTGTATGGGAGATTTGTAGTAAAAATGTGTGGGAGATGTGCAGGAAAGTTGTATAGGAGATTTGTAGTAAAGATGTGTGGGAGATGGGCAGGAAAGTTGTATGGGAGATTTGTAGTAAAGGTATGTGAGAGATGTGCAGGAAAGTTGTATGGGAGATTTGTGGTAAAGAGGTGTGGGAGATGTGTATGGGAGATTTGTAGTAAAGGTGTGTGGGAGATGGACAGGAAAGGTGTATGGCAGATTTGTAGTAAAGGTGTGTGGGAGTTGGGCAGGAAAGTTGTATGGGAGATTTGTAGTAAAGGTGTGTGGGAGATGGACAGGAAAGGTGTATGTGAGATTTGTAGTAAAGGTGTGTGGGAGATGGACAGGAAAGGTGTATGGGAGATTTGTAGTAGAGGTATGTGGGAGTGTGACACAGTTGTATCTTTCACATCCCCCAAAAATGGATGTTCTTGATTCGGACAAAGTGTGTTATGGATACAGTTAGTAGCTCTCTTGATCGTACTCAACAACACGACCAGTGATGTAACAAACTATTACAGATCTATTTGTTTATTTCCACAATATTGTAAGTCAAACAGTATGAATCATTTAATTTATACATGGTATAACATTCTAGTCTTATTCTGGCTATTCGTGTATCTCTCTATGAGTTCCTTAATCACTGTTCTAGCTAAACTCAAAGTTTAATATCTCTTCTAACGAAGTTTTCTCAACTGCCCTCTCAAGCGTCTCCGCTCTCTCCTCTTCACCCCCGCTTCCTCTCCCTTCCCAGCATGGGTTCTCAATCACCCCCTGTCATCTGTCTCCGGTGGTCACGTTTGTATAAACGTACTCTATTCAACCCTGGTCACAGTGCACCTGGTTTATCTGTTTTGCTTTGTCGGGCCAGCGTTCTAATCACCGTTTTCTGTCACGCCACCCAGTGATGGATTGGCATGCCTTGATGCTGGTCTGAAATGTATGCATTCTTCATTTAACCCCTTCCTAACTCTATTTCATTACAGGAGATGGGCAGGAAAGGTGTATGGAAGATTTGTAGTAAAGGTGTGTGGGAGATGTGTTGGAAAGGTGTGTGGGAGATTTGTAGTAAAGGTGTGTGGGAGATGTGTTGGAAAGGTGTGTGGGAGATTTGAAGTAAAGATGTATGGGAGATGTGTTGGAAAGGTGTGTGGGAGATGTGTTGGAAAGGTGTGTGGAAGATGTGTTGGAAAGGTGTGTGGGAGATTTGTAGTAAAGATGTGTTGGAAAGGTGTGTGCGAGATGTGTTGGAAAGGTGTGTGGGAGATGTGTTGGAAAGGTGTGTGGGAGATGTGTTGGAAAGGTGTGTGGGAGATGTGTTGGAAAGGTGTGTGGGAGATGTGTTGGAAATGTGTGTGGGAGATGTGTTGGAAAGGTATGTGGGAGATGTGCTGGGTTGCTGTGGGTGGGAGATGTTGCAGGCTTGATGTATGGGAGATGTGCATGATGGTTGGGTAGGAGATGTGTACTGTACACAGAAAGAGAGATGTGAAGTCCCTTGCTTCTGACTGACAGAGGTGGAGGCAACCCATCAGTCAGCAGCATCTAGCAAACCACAACATGCTGTTGTATCCAAGTATGATGATGATCAATAGATATTATTCTGATGTAGTTTTTATGACCGGTCTGCACTTTTTAATTTACAGCCACACCAGTCGGGTGACAGTGAGAGTTAGTTATGGAGTTGGCTTAGGGGTGACAGTGAGAGTTAGTTATGGAGTTGGCTTAGGGGTGACAGTGAGAGTTAGTTATGGAGTTGGCATAGTTTTTAGATTTACATACATCGTTGGTAAATTCCAGTCATTGACATAATTGTCATTTGTTTGCATCGATGTATGTGTGTATGCTAATAATGGATGTTACTCTGATTAACATAAATGTACACATTTTTGTTATTAACATAATTTATGCATATTATTGATATATCAATGAAAACCAGTAATTGACGTAATTTGTATAATTCTGATTAACATACGTGAACATATTTCAGTCATTGACATACTGTGCATCGGAACCGTTACGTGTCAGGATCATCAGCAGCCTGGGCACAGAGAAATTGCTGAAGATCATTGAGGACCCTATCTTGTTGATCCGGCAAAAGGCCTTGTGTATCGTCCGCAACTTATTGACTTCTGTGAGTTGTTTGTTGTTGAGTTCATGTGGGTTTATTTTCATTGTTTTCTTTTTGTTTTTGGTATGACTTTCCATAAAGTTTGTCTCTTCCACTGCCAGTTTGTCTGTTACCTTTCATGTTCTTGGCTTGGCTCTCTTCCACTGCCAGTTTGTCTGTTACCTTTCATGTTCTTGGCTCTCTTCTGCTGCCAGTTTGTCTGTTACCTTTCATGTTGTTGGCTCTCTTCTACTGCCAGTTTGTCTGTTACCTTTCATGTTGTTGGCTCTCTTCTACTGCCAGTTTGTCTGTTACCTTTCATGTTGTTGGCTCTCTTCTACTGCCAGTTTGTCTGTTACCTTTCATGTTCTGGGCTCTCTTCTACTGCCAGTTTGTCTGTTACCTTTCATGTTCTGGGCTCTCTTCTACTGCCAGTTTGTCTGTTACCTTTCATGTTGTTGGCTCTCTTCTACTGCCAGTTTGTCTGTTACCTTTCATGTTGTTGGCTCTCTTCTACTGCCAGTTTGTCTGTTACCTTTCATGTTCTTGGCTCTCTTCTACTGCCAGTTTGTCTGTTACCTTTCATGTTGTTGGCTCTCTTCTACTGCCAGTGTGTCTGTTACCTTTCATGTTCTAGGCTCTCTTCCACTGCCAGTTTGTCTGTTACCTTTCATGTTGTTGGCTCTCTTCTACTGCCAGTTTGTCTGTTACCTTTCATGTTGTTGGCTCTCTTCTACTGCCAGTTTGTCTGTTACCTTTCATGTTCTTGACTTGGCTCTCTTCTACTGCCAGTTTGTCTGTTACCTTTCATGTTCTTGACTTGGCTCTCTTCTACTGTCAGTTTATCTGTTACCTTTCATGTTCTTGACTTGGCTCTCTTCCACTGCCAGTGTATCTGTTACCTTTCATGTTCTTGGCTCTCTTCCACCCCACTTGACTGATATTTGCCTGATTTGATAAGGTTTTGTTGAATTGACTGTGATGTTTGCCTGATTTGACGTCTAAGTTTGATTGACTTGACTGTGATGTTTGCCTGATTTGATGTCTAAGTTTGATTGACTTGACTGTAATATTTGCCTGATTTGACTGCTTGTAACTGTGTGCTCTCCCTTACAGCTGCATGACTGTGAAGACAGGGATGTGATGCTGCAGAGAGTCCTGCGAGAGAGGTGCACCTCTGATAGAACGGTGAGTTACATCTTTGCTCAGTTGCTTGAGTGTGGATCTTCTGAACAACTGAGTTTCAATTTTGAACCATTTTAGTCCCAGGAGGTCATATCTGAAGTCTGAGGAAAGCAGTAATGGTAACGTCTCACATATGGGTGTACTACTTCCACAGGAGCCAAAGACACTTCCCTTGTAGGAGAGAATCTTGTACTCAGAGTCTCTTATAGACTGACTAAACATAAGATTTGTAAACATTCTCTGGGACACAATAATTGTATTAAGTCGCATGTGGTGGGTTATAAAATTTAAACAAAGCAAACCAAGCATTTGCCATGCCCAACAAAATACGTAGGTAATATGGGATTTAGTTTGACGACAAAACTCAACATTTACAAGCCCAACATTTTGGAAATACTATTCTCCAACAGTGAATGTTGAAAGTGACTATGCTAATTACACATAAACTAAGAAATTAAAAAAAAAAATTTTTTTTAGAGGGAAATGCTGCAAATATTTTAACCAAACAAAATAAGGTAATAAATAAAGAACTGAGGAGGAAAACATCACTGGCAAATGTTATCAAAGGAGGAACATAGAGATGGATCAAACATCACTGGCAAATGTTATCAAAGGAGGAACATAGAGATGGATCAAACATCACTGGCAAATGTTATCAAAGGAGGAACATAGAGATGGATCAAACATCTTTGTAGAATGCCTCATGAAATTTGTCAAGGACAACTCTCCTGGGACAGGAAACGCAAAGAGAAGATGTTGATAAGTTAAGGAAACCTGGAAAAGGACAGTAAAAAAAGGAAATTGAAGGAATGTAAATTAAAATGAGTAGAAAAGCAGTAGATGGACAGCAGTGGAGATAACTTGTGAATGTCTTATGTGTCAACAGTTACACAAAGAGGGTATAGACATAAAGGCACATGGGGCGATGCTGGGTATAGGAAGGGTCAAGTATACTCTATTAGGCTACGGTCATGTAATTATAGCACTCCTGAAATGAATTAGATCCCCCAGTAATTCATGCACCTTCCTGCCCAAGGTTGAAGTGTATCCCCCACCAGCTCATGCACGATCCAGCCCAAGGTGGAAGTGTATCCCCCACCAACTCATGCACATTCCTGCCCAAGGTTGAAGTGTATCCCCCACCAACTCATGCATGTTCCTGCCCAAGGTTGAACTGTATCGTCCACCAACTCATGCACGTTCCTGCCCATGATTGAAGTGTATCCCTCACCAACTCATGCACATTCCTGCCCAAGGTTGAAGTGTATCCCCCCACCAACTCATGCACGTTCCTGCCCAAGATTGAAGTGTATTCCTCACCAACTCATGTGCGTTCCTGCCCAAGATTGAAGTGTATCCTCCACCAACTCATGCATGTTCCTGCCCAAGATTGAAGTGTATCCCTCACCAACTAATGCACGTCCCTGCCCAAGGTTGAACTGTCTCCCCCACCAACTCATGCACGTTCCTGCCCAAGATTGAAGTGTATCCCCCACCAACTCATGCACGTTCCTTCCCAAGATTGAAGTGTATCCCCCACCAACTCATGCACGTTCCTGCCCAAGATTGAAGTGTATCCCCCACCAACTCATGCACGTTCCTGCCCAAGATTGAAGTGTATCCCTCACCAACTCATGTGCGTTCCTGCCCAAGATTGAAGTGTATCCTCCACCAACTCATGCACGTTCCTGCCCAAGGTTGAAGTGTATCCCCCACCAACTCATGCACGTTCCAACCCAAGGTTGAAGTGTATCCCCCACCAACTCATGCACGTTCCTGCCCAAGATTGAAGTGTATCCCTCACCAACTCATGTGCGTTCCTGCCCAAGATTGAAGTGTATCCTCCACCAACTCATGCACGTTCCTGCCCAAGATTGAAGTGTATCCTCCACCAACTCATGCACGTTCCTGCCCAAGATTGAAGTGTATCCCTCACCAACTCATGCACGTTCCTGCCCAAGGTTGAAGTGTATCCCCCACCAACTCATGCACGTTCCTTCCCAAGATTGAAGTGTATCCCCCACCAACTCATGCACGTTCCTGCCCAAGATTGAAGTGTATCCCCCACTGACTCATGCACGTTCCTGCCCAAGGTTGAAGTGTATCCCCCACCAACTCATGCACGTTCCAACCCAAGGTTGAAGTGTATCCCCCACCAACTCATGCACGTTCCTGCCCAAGATTGAAGTGTATCCCCCACTGACTCATGCACGTTCCAACCCAAGATTGACTTGAGGTTGTCTATCCCTGAGAAAGGCTTTCATCCATCATCATCAGATAAGTGTATAGACTTGTCTGCCAACCCTGCACCACTGTGAATTCTTCACGCAATAGCTCTTCTTTCCTTCTTCTAATAAAGTTAATATTGTAATAATACAGTAGAACCTCCCTTAACGAGCACCTCTCATAATGAGTAATTCGCATAACGAGCAAAACAAATTGTAAAAGAATGACTTGCTTAACGAGCGACGTTTCGCATAACGAGTGGCGAGGAGAGGGGAAATCCTAGATTTTGCGCATGTTACAACAGTGTTTAGCACTCGTTCCAGTAGCATTGTCGCTTGTGATCGCACATTTTCTCAAACTTGTGTTATATTGTGATATATGTACATGAATCCTCTAGGCCTACAAGATGACCTCCCTGATGAATTTAAGTTAATCAAGATCCAGTTTCTGCCTCCCAACACCACTCCGTTACTCCAGCCAATGGACCAGCAAGTTATTTCTAACTTTAAGAAGCTCTACACTAAAGCACTCTTCGAGTATTGTTTTCAGGTGACTGAAGGGACCAACCTCACTCTCAAAGAGTTTTGGAAAAATCACTTCCACATCATTGCCTTCATCAAGATGATCGACAAGGCGGGGGAAGGGGTTACCAAGAGAACCCTAACTTCTTCTTGGAGAAAGCTTTGGCCGGAGAGTGTTGTCGATTTGTGACTTTGAGGGGTTCGAGACAGTACCTGTGTAACCTGTAGTCAACGAGATGGTGTCTTTGGCCACTATCATGGGATTGTAGGTGGATAACAGTGATATCGAAGAGCTTGTGGAAGAGCACAGCCAAGAGCTGACCATCGAAGAGCTTATGGAGTTGCATTGTGTTTCACAGCAAGAAGTTTTGGAGGAAAGTTTGTCAGAGGAGGAGGTAACAGAAAAGCAACGATCTTCTGGCGAAAAAAGAAAAATGTTGAAAGGATGGGAAACTGTTGCTTCTCACATTAAGAAGCATCACCATAATAAGGAGGTGGCTATGCGCGCTGCAAGTTTAATGATAATGCCGTGTTGCAGTTTCGCCAAATTTTGAAGCATCGACAAAAAACAAATGTCTCTTGGCATGTTTCTAATTAAAAGAAATAATTAGCTGTGTATCATAATTATTTCGACTTTTTTTTTGGCAAATCGAATTCGCATTCTACGTGAGTTTGTTCTGCGTTTGAAGAAAAGATGAAGATGATTCACTCTCCTTAAATATGTGTATAATTTTCTTTGAATAAATGTTATAGTATAACTTATACATAGCATTTTGTGAGTATTTTTTTCGACATGGAACGCATTATCGTATTTTTCAATAATTTATATGAGAAAAATTGCTTCGCATAACGAGTGTTTCGCTTAACGAGTGGGATTCTGGAACGAATTATGCTCGTTAAGCGAGGTTCCACTGTATTTGTGTTAATAATAAAGTTAATATTGTAATAATATTTGTGTTAATTAATAACGTTAATATTGTAATAATATTTGTGTTAATTAATAACGTTAATATTGTAATAATATTTGTGTTAATTAATAACGTTAATATTGTAATAATATTTGTGTTAATGAAGAAAGTGAAAACTGTAATTGTAATATTCTGTTGTTTTTGACCAGGTCATAGACAGGATGGTGAAGCTGCTGGGTAGTGAGGTGATAGAGGCCGTGTTCCGGACAGTTCGAGACCCGACCTTGCCTGTTTATGTATTAGAGCAGGTGAGAGCATGCCGTGTTCATACCATCAGTGTTATCGAAGAAGTATAATGCAATACAAGCTAGAATGTTGGACAATTATGTTTAAAGACAATGCTGTGACCTCGTGCCAACCGAAGTTATGTAGGTCATCCTGGGGTCATTCTGAAAGGTCCTGGCCTACCGGCTGTGGTAAAGTGGTGACATGCCTCTGGTAAAGGGGTGACATGCCTCTGGTAAAGGGGTGACAGGCCTCTGGTGAAGTGGTGACAGGCCTCTGGTTAAGTGGTGACAGACCTCTGGTTAAGTGGTGACAGACCCCTGGTGAAGTGGTGACAGACCTCTGGTTAAGTGGTGATAGACCTCTGGTAAAGTGGTGACCGGCCTCTGGTGAAGTGGTGACAGGCCTGTAGTGAAGTAGTGACAGGCCTCTGGTAAAGTGGTGACAGGACTCTTGTGAAGTTACAGCCAGAAAAGCAAAAAGCAGAACCTGATATCTCCCTTGACACCTGAAGTGGTAAAGGAAGAAGTGAAGAAGAAAAAAATATAAGATTTAATAATTTGTGAACAAGTCAGCTTCCTTAATTATTATGAATCTTTATGTTGTCATTATTGTTGACCTGTGAATGTTGTTGTTATTGTTGACCTGTAAATGTTGTCATTGTTTGTGACCTGTGAATGTTGTTGTTATTGTTGACCTATGAATGCAGGGCCTCAGTTGTCTCTCTAATATGACCTATTCTTCTGCACACCCACATCTCCAGGGCCTCAGTTGTCTCTCTAATATGACATATTCTTCTGCACACCCACATCTCCAGGGCTTCAGTTGGGCTGTCTAATATGACATATTCTTCTGCACACCCACATCTCCAGGGCTTCAGTTGGACTGTCTAATATGACCTATTCTTCTGCACACCCACATCTCCAGGGCCTCAGTTGGATTGTCTAATATGACCTATTCTTCTGCACACCCACATCTCCAGGGCCTCAGTTGTCTCTCTAATATGACCTATTCTTCTGCACACCCACATCTCCAGGGCCTCAGTTGGATTGTCTAATATGACCTATTCTTCTGCACACCCACATCTCCAGGGCCTCAGTTGGATTGTCTAATATGACCTATTCTTCTGCACACCCACATCTCCAGGGCCTCAGTTGGATTGTCTAATATGACCTATTCTTCTGCACACCCACATCTCCAGGGCTTCAGTTGGACTGTCTAATATAACCTATTCTTCTGCACACCCACATCTCCAGGGCTTCAGTTGGATTGTCTAATATGACCTATTCTTCTGCACACCCACATCTGCAGGGCCTCAGTTGGACTGTCTCATCAGTCCCATTCTGCTGAAGTTGAAGGTCCTCTCTGACTGTCAGCGCTCCCTAGAGTAAGTTTATAACCGCTAGAGTTCTTGTACGGGCTTTCTCTGGAGTCTGAGAGTGCAAGGCACTGGCAGATTGATGGTCAGATTCATGTACACAAAGGTTGCCTGTCTTCCAGTGACACAGTTGAGATGGCTGTTGATCTTGTATGTCCTGTTGGTCAGATTCATGAACACAAAGGCTGCCTGTCTTCCAGTGACACAGTTGAGATGGCTGTTGATCTTGCATGTCCTGTTGGTCAGATTCATGTACACAAAGGTTGCCTGTCTTCCAGTGACACAGTTGAGATGGCTGTTGATCTTGCATGTCCTGTTGGTCAGATTCATGTACACAAAGGTTGCCTGTCTTCCAGTGACACAGTTGAGATGGCTGTTGATCTTGCATGTCCTGTTGGTCAGATTCATGTACACAAAGGTTGCCTGTCTTCCAGTGACACAGTTGAGATGGCTGTTGATCTTGTATGTCCTGTTGGTCAGATTCATGTACACAAAGGTTGCCTGTCTTCCAGTGACACAGTTGAGATGGCTGTTGATCTTGTATGTCCTGTTGGTCAGATTCATGAACACAAAGGTTGCCTGTCTTCCAGTGACACAGTTGAGATGGCTGTTGATCTTGTATGTCCTGTTGGTAAGATTCATGAACACAAAGGCTGCCTGTCTTCCAGTGACACAGTTGAGATGGCTGTTGATCTTGTATGTCCTGTTGGTCAGATTCATGTACACAAAGGTTGCCTGTCTTCCAGTGACACAGTTGAGATGGCTGTTGATCTTGCATGTCCTGTTGGTCAGATTCATGTACACAAAGGTTGCCTGTCTTCCAGTGACACAGTTGAGATGGCTGTTGATCTTGTATGTCCTGTTGGTCAGATTCATGAACACAAAGGCTGCCTGTCCTTCAATGATGCACTTGAGATGGCTGTTGATCTTGCATGTCCTGTTTACAACTGGGTACTAAAGGCCTGCTTTTGATTTATTTGTTAGCAGATGAAGTTGTTATAAACTTCATTACAAAGAGATCAGCCTGTTGATCAGTCTGTTGGTCCCTTTGTTCATCTTTTCAGCCCGTTTTCTTCAGTGTTTACATTGTGTCGAATGTGAGCATGTCTTGTTTTTAACCATGTTCTAAGAAGGCAGACAAACAGAAGAGACTTTGATTTGTATGGAGGAGATGAAACAGAAATATGGGTTTCAAATGGGTGCTGTCTTGGCCAGAAATAACAAATACTGAAGATCCATTACAGGTGACCTTTAATATGAAGCTGACACCTCATCTGATTTAGCAAAAATCCCTAGGTTTAGGCTGGATAAATAAATGGCTCTGGTTGAAAAAATCCATAATTTCCTTCTCAGGCCCTGTGTATTGTGAGCAACATGGCGGATGGTCCCTGCTGTAAGGAACATATCATTGGCAAAACTGAAGAGCTCCAGTCTGTGCTGAAATATCTGGTAGGATGTTTGTGCTCTTGTTAGTGTTATGTTAGCTGGTTCATTCCCAGAGATGGTGATGACTTCAACACGTTTCCCAGAGATGGTGATGACTTCAACACGTTTCCCAGAGATGGTGATGACTTCAACACGTTTCCCAGAGATGGTGATGACTTCAACACGTTTCCCAGAGATGGTGATGACTTCAACACGTTTCCCAGAGATGGTGATGACTTCAACACGTTTCCCAGAGATGGTGATGACTTCAACACGTTCTCTAGTTGAGTTTGTTCGCCTTAGAGTGACAGTCTGGTGAGGTAAAGTGCTTTAGTGGATGAAACAAAAGAAACACAAAAAGTTGAGAGGGATGTCTCCCGTGTAAAGTAAAGGACCCTTTTCCAAGCCTGTAGGCTTATTGGGCATATAGGGCTAGGCATATATTTTATAGACCAATCAGCACTTGTGGGTGATGTGGTCAGTATCATGCCAGCTGCCTTTACTTCCCAGGACTGCAGGCTGGGTTGACCTGGGAGTCAAGGTCATTTTTGACAAAAGTCTAGCTCAGTCAGGACGTGGACCTGCGGCGACCCCCGTACCAAGTATAGAACAACATATAAATCTGCGACCCCCGTACCAAGTATAGAACAACATATAAATCTGCGACCCCCGTACCAAGTATAGAACAACATATAAATCTGCGACCCCCGTACCATGTATAGAACAACATATAAATCTGCGACTCCCGTACCATGTATAGAACAACATATAAATCTGCGACCCCCGTACCAAGTATAGAACAACATATAAATCTGCCATCAGTTGGCTGGTAGTGAAAGAGTTGATGGAAACTTATTTGGTGGTTTTTGCTTGCATGAAATACAACCTGTTCTTGTGTAAGTCCACATTTCCTGAGACGCAATTTGATTTTCTAGTTGCCTGTTTTACTTTGCCATTTCTGCACCGTATGGCAGGGTTGAGATACACAGCATTTGATGATTCTCATTGTTCATGTGTTGTTTCTCTCTCTAGCTGTCAATAATTTTAACATCTTACTGAAGATGGTAGTCTGGTCTGGTAGTCTTAGTTTCAGCTTCATAGCAAACGGGTCACCCCATCTTTGCTCCGCTCCTGTGCAAACGAAAAACACACAGAATGTTTATCACAGTGCCTTGTGGAAAGATTGACAGACTGCTGTCTCGGCATATCTAGCTTACACTCGCATTAAAACATGCGGTAGCCATCCGAAGTCCTAACACAAACATTCTGACATGAGAAATGCAGTTCATCATTGATGGTAGCAGAAGTCACCAACAGATCAGCAGTTGCCCACGTGATCAATTTTAATTACATACGGGCACCACCAACATTGCACGACAGGCATCGCGCCATTTTCTGAATCTACAATTCACGTTGGTCACAGTCGAAAAAACTATCCAAATGAAATCTGCAGCTCACAGTGTCACGCCATGCATTCAGCTCAGAAGCTGGGCGACAAAACTATATCCAGTCTACAAATGGAGCAAAAATGCATCGGCCACCGTCTGGCAGAAGCGAAAAATTTGCCTCGGCTTTGAGCAGTGCTCCTACCTAGCGTCCATTTTGACCGGAAGATACTGAAGATAATTTTTTGCCATTCCTGTTCTCTTTTTGATTTTTTTCACTTCTGCAGTCATCTGTTACTGTGTGTCCTAGATGGAAGAAACTTGTTACTTGTTCTAATATCTCTCTGTTTACTGTGATGTTTATTCTTTTCCATTGTTAATTACCATAGTTTTTGCTTTTTGAATGTTAATGTATAAACCATAATTTCCACTCAGCCTGTTGAGTTGATCTACTAACTAGGTCCTGTAACTGCCGCTGACTTTCTGCCAGTAACACTGTGTCATCAGCAGATCTGAGATTGTTTATTGTTCTCCCATTCATATTCAGTCCAGACAGTCCAGACAGTCCAGACAGTCCAGACAGTCCAGACAGTTCAGACAGTCCAGACAGTCCAGACAGTCCAGACAGTCCAGACAGTCCAGACAGTTCAGACAGTCCAGACAGTCCAGACAGTCCAGACAGTCCAGACAGTCCAGACAGTTCAGACAGTCCAGACAGTTCAGACAGTCCAGACAGTCCAGACAGTCCAGACAGTTCAGACAGTCCAGACAGTTCTGCCAGTTCTCCAGCTTGTCTACAAATGTTTTCTGTATTTCAGTTGAAAAGGCTTGGGGGGCGGATACAGAATCTTGGACATACTCTTCTTTCTACTCCGCTGTCTTGTCATTTCATAATTTTAAACTTATTTCTTTTTACCTTGTAATCATGAAATCTGAGATTTTGGTAATTTAATCATGAAATCTGAGATATTTTGGTAATTTAATCATGAAATCTGAGATATTTTGGTAATTTAATCATGAAATCTGACATATGTTTGTAATTGAATCGACTATTTTCAGTCAGAGAAAAATCATTTAAAATCTTGAGCTGATTACAATTTTATTTGGTAGATAAAAGTAGAGGTCAAGGAGACCCTTATTTTGTCAGGGGCACATTGGGCATGTGGTGCTAGGCTCATGTGTTAGCACTGTGAGCGGTAGGGGAGATGTGTCAGCATTGTGGGCGGTAGGGGAGATGTGTCAGCAGTGTGGGCGGTAGGGGAGATGTGTCAGCAGTGTGGATAGTAGGGGAGATGTGTCAGCACTGTGGGCAGTAGGGGAGATGTGTCAGCAGTGTGGGCGGTAGGGGAGATGTGTCAGCAGTGTGGCCGGTAGGGGAGATGTCATAGACATCATAGACATTTCAGAAGATGGTAAGATCTTGTCAAGTGCCATGTGTTACAGTTTATCACAAACATCATAGACATCTCAGAAGATGGTAAGATGTGGGCGGTAGGGGAGATGTGTCAGCAGTGTGGGCGGTAGGGGAGATGTGTCAGCAGTGTGGGCGGTAGGGGAGATGTGTCAGCAGTGTGGGCGGTAGGGGAGATGTGTCAGCAGTGTGGGCGGTAGGGGAGATGTGTCCGCAGTGAATCGCCACCTTTACTTCCCAGGGTATGACCTGATTCCCAGTTTAGACTTCGTTTGCCTGGTCATTTGTGACAAACATCCGCACTGGATGTGGATCTGAACCCAAGACTGTGCTACCGCAGACTGTGCTACCACAGACTGTGCTACAGCAGACTGTGCTACAGCAGACTGTGCTACAGCAGACTGTGCTACCACATACTGTGCTACAGCAGACTGTGCTACAGCAGACTGTGCTACAGCAGACTGTGCTACCACAGACTGTGCTACCACAGACTGTGCTACCACAGACTGTGCTACCACAGACTGTGCTACAGCAGACTGTGCTACTGCAGACTGTGCTACAGCAGTGTTACCACATACTGTGCTACCACAGCTCATGTTTATTGTGGCAACTGTTTATTTTGTTGTTGTGATGGTGTGTGCCTACAATCTTGTTGAATTGTGTCCTTCCTTGGTTTACTCCCAGGAGAAAGATTCCTACCCAGACTACCAGCCTGTGACCCGTCTGCAGCTTCCTGTGTTACAGTTTATCACAAACATCATAGACATCTCCGAAGATGGTAAGATCTTGCCAAATGCCATGTGCTACAGTTTATCACAAACATCATAGACATCTCAGAAGATGGTAGGATCTTGCCAAATGACATATGTTACAGTTTATCACAAACATCATAGACATTTCAGAAGATGGTAAGATCTTGTCAAGTGCCATGTGTTACAGTTTATCACAAACATCATAGACATCTCAGAAGATGGTAAGATCTTGTCAAGTGACATATGTTACAGTTTATCACAAACATCATAGACATCTCAGAAGATGGTAAGATCTTGTCAAGTGACATGTGTTACAGTTTATCACAAACATCATAGACATCTCAGAAGATGGTAGGATCTTGTCAAGTGCCATGTGTTACAGTTTATCACAAACATCATGGACATCTCAGAAGATGGTAAGGTCTTGCCAAGTGCCATGTGCTACAGTTTATCACAAACATCATAGACATCTCAGAAAATGGTAGGATCTTGCCAAGTGCCATGTGTTACAGTTTATCACAAACATCATAGACATCTCAGAAGATGGTAAGGTCTTGCCAAGTGACATGTGCTACAGTTTATCACAAACATCATAGACATTTCAGATGATGGTCAGGTCTTGCCAGGTAACCTGTCTTGGTCAAATATTCTCTTTAGGAGTTGACTTTGAGGTTGCCAGATAGGCTTAAGCCTGGTGGATCAAGATGTGAGAAAAAAGTGCTGGAGCCAGGTGTGACATGTGTAAACAAAAGTGCGGGGGCCAGGTGTGACACGTGTAAACAAAAGTGCGGGAGCCAGGTGTGACACGTGTAAAAAAAAAAGTACGGGAGCCAGGTGTGACACATTTAAAAAAGGAAAACTGATAGTACTGGAGCCCACAGGGTCACACGCATAAAGGGATATAAGACATGCATGGAGAAAAAAGTTAGAGACAGAAGTATGTCCTGGGACAAACAACACCACTTCTGAGGCTAGCAGGGAGCAATAGAGACTGACATAGAGCAATAGAGACTGACATAGAGCAATAGAGACTGACAGAGCAACAGAGGCTGGCAGAGCAGTAGAGGCAGGCAAAGAACAATAGAGGCTGGCAGAGAGCAATAGAGGCAGGCAGAGAGCAATAGAGACTGACAGAGAGCTATAGAGGCAGGCAGAGAGCAATAGAGACAGGCAGAGAGGAATAGAGGCAGGCAGAGAGCAATAGAGACTGACAGAGAGCAATAGAGGCAGCCAAAGAGCAATAGAGACAGACAGAGAGCAATAGAGGCAGGCAGAGAGCAATAGAAACTGACAGAGAGCAATAGAGGCAGCCAAAGAGCGATAGAGGCAGGCAGAGAGCAATAGAGACTGACAGAGAGCAATAGAGGCAGCAAAAGAGCAATAGAGGCAGCCAAAGAGCAATAGAGTCAGGCAGAGAGCAATAGAGGCAGGCAGAGCGCAATAGAGACAGACAGAGAGCAATAGAGACAGGCAGAGAGCAATAGAGGCAGGCAGAGAGCAATAGAGACTGACAGAGAGCAATAGAGGCAGGCAGAGAGCAATATAGACAGGCAGAGAGCAATAGAGGCAGGCAGAGAGCAATAGAGGCAGCCAAAGAGCAATAGAATCAGTCAGAGAGCAATAGAGGCAGGCAGAGACAGAAAAATGATTTTAGTAACAAAAAACCTTGCCTAAAATGTTACAGTTACAGTCGAGTGGATCGACTTTGTTGCACTGGGTTAAACTCTCTAACTCCAGTGAAAGTCCTCATGGATCTCCATGAAACCTGTACTTGTGAACGGTGCTTCTGTGTAATGAGCCCATGATCTTCAGAGTACAAGGTCCTAAACTCGAGCACTTTGGCACAGAGACCCGTTGGATGTGTCTGCCAGAGAATGTCCTTGGAAGTAAAGGTGGCTGCTGAGGTATTGACCACATCACCCACTGAGTGCTGATATAAAAACAAGTCTAACATCAAATTTTCAGTGTCTTTTACTTCCCTCTTTATGGTGAATTAGTTTATTATTGAGGCTGACCAGGGTGGGTGGGAGACCTAGGTCATAAACCCTGATATAGTGTCTTCTTGTGTCCTTTGTGCAGCATTGGGTGGAAGACCTAGGTCATAAACCCTGATATAGTGTCTTCTTGTGTCCTTCGTGCAGCGGTGGGTGTGAGAGCTAGGTCATAAACCCTGATATAGTGTCTTCTTGTGTCCTTCGTGCAGTGGTGGGTGTGAGAGCTAGGTCATAAACCCTGATATAGTGTCTTCTTGTGTCCTTAGTGCAGCGTTGGGTGTGAGAGCTAGGTCATAAACCCTGATATAGTGTCTTCTTGTGTCCTTGGTGCAGCGTTGGGTGTGAGAGCTAGGTCATAAACCCTGATATAGTGTCTTCTTGTGTCCTTCGTGCAGCGGTGGGTGTGAGAGATAGGTCATAAACCCTGATATAGTGTCTTCTTGTGTCCTTGGTGCAGCGTTGGGTGTCAGAGCTAGGTCATAAACCCTGATATAGTGTCTTCTTGTGTCCTTTGTGCAGCGGTGGGTTTGAGAGCTAGGTCATAAACCCTGATATAGTGTCTTCTTGTGTCCTTAGTGCAGCGTTGGGTGTGAGAGCTAGGTCATAAACCCTGATATAGTGTCTTCTTGTGTCCTTTGTGCAGCGGTGGGTTTGAGAGCTAGGTCATAAACCCTGATATAGTGTCTTCTTGTGTCCTTCGTGCAGCGGTGGGTGTGAGAGCTAGGTCATAAACCCTGATATAGTGTCTTCTTGTGTCCTTAGTGCAGCGTTGGGTGTGAGAGCTAGGTCATAAACCCTGATATAGTGTCTTCTTGTGTCCTTCGTGCAGCGGTGGGTGTGAGAGCTAGGTCATAAACCCTGATATAGTGTCTTCTTGTGTCCTTAGTGCAGCGGTGGGTGTGAGAGCTAGGTCATAAACCCTGATATAGTGTCTTCTTGTGTCCTTCATGCAGCGGTGGGTGTGAGAGCTAGGTCATAAACCCTGATATAGTGTCTTCTTGTGTCCTTCGTGCAGCGGTGGGTGTCAGAGCTAGGTCATAAACCCTGATATAGTGTCTTCTTGTGTCCTTTGTGCAGTGGTGGGTGTGAGAGCTAGGTCATAAACCCTGATATAGTGTCTTCTTGTGTCCTTCGTGCAGCGGTGGGTGTGAGAGCTAGGTCATAAACCCTGATATAGTGTCTTCTTGTGTCCTTTGTGCAGTGGTGGGTGTGAGAGCTAGGTCATAAACCCAGATATAGTGTCTTCTTGTGTCCTTCGTGCAGCGGTGGGTGTCAGAGCTAGGTCATAAACCCTGATATAGTGTCTTCTTGTGTCCTTAGTGCAGCGGTGGGTGTGAGAGCTAGGTCATAAACCCTGATATAGTGTCTTCTTGTGTCCTTCATGCAGCGGTGGGTGTGAGAGCTAGGTCATAAACCCTGATATAGTGTCTTCTTGTGTCCTTCGTGCAGCGGTGGGTGTCAGAGCTAGGTCATAAACCCTGATATAGTGTCTTCTTGTGTCCTTTGTGCAGTGGTGGGTGTGAGAGCTAGGTCATAAACCCTGATATAGTGTCTTCTTGTGTCCTTCGTGCAGCGGTGGGTGTGAGAGCTAGGTCATAAACCCTGATATAGTGTCTTCTTGTGTCCTTCGTGCAGCGGTGGGTTTGAGAGCTAGGTCATAAACCCTGATATAGTGTCTTCTTGTGTCCTTCGTGCAGCGGTGGGTGTGAGAGCTAGGTCATAAAAACCAGATATAGTGTCTTCTTGTGTCCTTCGTGCAGCGGTGGGTGTGAGAGCTAGGTCATAAACCCTGATATAGTGTCTTCTTGAGTCCTTCGTGCAGCGGTGGGTGTGAGAGCTAGGTCATAAACCCTGATATAGTGTCTTCTTGAGTCCTTCGTGCAGCGGTGGGTGTGAGAGCTAGGTCATAAACCCTGATATAGTGTCTTCTTGTGTCCTTCGTGCAGCGGTGGGTGTGAGAGCTAGGTCATAAACCCAGATATAGTGTCTTCTTGTGTCCTTCGTGCAGCGGTGGGTGTGAGAGCTAGGTCATAAACCCTGATATAGTGTCTTCTTGAGTCCTTCGTGCAGCGGTGGGTGTGAGAGCTAGGTCATAAACCCTGATATAGTGTCTTCTTGTGTCCTTTGTGCAGCGGTGGGTGTGAGAGCTAGGTCATAAACCCTGATATAGTGTCTTCTTGTGTCCTTTGTGCAGCGGTGGGTGTGAGAGCTAGGTCATAAACCCTGATATAGTGTCTTCTTGTGTCCTTCGTGCAGCGGTGGGTGTCAGAGCTAGGTCATAAACCCTGATATAGTGTCTTCTTGTGTCCTTCGTGCAGCGGTGGGTGTGAGAGATAGGTCATAAACCCTGATATAGTGTCTTCTTGTGTCCTTCGTGCAGCAGCTTCCCAGCGACTCATGATCCTCAAGAATTTAGGCGTCCAGCGTATCCTAGAGGAAGTCAGCTACAAAAAAGATCTCCAGAAAAGGTAGAAATGAGTTTTTGTGGAGTTTTGTATGTGTTTATGGGAGTTTATATGTTTATGTGTGGAGGTGTATGTGTTTATGGGAGTTTATATGTTTATGTGTGGAGGTATATGTGTTTATGGGAGTTTATATGTTTATGTGTGGAGGTGTATGTGTTTATGGAAGTTTATATGTTTATGTGTGGAGGTGTATGTGTTTATGGGAGTTTATATGTTTATGTGTGGACGTGTGTGTGTGCCTATGTGTGGCATTTTGTGGCTGGGCGTGCTATGTTTGTATGTTGGAGTTTGTGCGTGTATAGTTCTCCTGTGTGTATGTCTGTGTTATTGTTTCACCTTAACAGGAACAGTTTACCTATTTTACTCAGCTGATTAGGAAAAGGAACCATAGCCATGGAGTCATTGAACGGGATACACAACAGAATATGGAACAGAATATACAAGATATACAACAGGATAGAGAACAGCATTGGCTAAGTTGAGTCGGGAACCAACATCACAGGCTCTCGGGACATTTCTAAAAGTGCGTCATCCTCAGCTTCAGCAGCCACTGTAGAGTTCCATATCTAATGGAACAGTAGCATTTGTTTATACGTCCATGTGGCTTTTCCTCCCCTGGGTGTAGAATGTCAGTCAAACACCCTGGTCACTTCTAGCTGTACCACTCCTAGCTGTATCACTTCTAGCGGTACCACTCCTAGCTGTACCACTCCTAGCTGCACTGCTCCTAGCTGTACCACTCCTAGCTGTACCATTCTCTCCAGACCATAATTATCAGTTCATGCTTTAGCATTGTTCACTGACTCACAGAGGGCCTTGACCACATCAAGTCTGTTAAGATTGATGAAGACAACAACCTTGTGGTTGTTGATGATTTATTGGACTCCTTATCTTCTCAGATAAGAATGAAAACCTAGTAGAGAATGTGTTTTAAAATTCTTTAGCCATTGGAAATTAGAGGTGGACTACACTGGCCAGATTTTACAAAGTAGAACACATAAAATAATATTTACAGAATATGTTAACCTGATTTACTCAATTTTGTATTTTACCAGGGCTATGGGGTTTGTGCAGTGTGTTGAGGTTCTGCTTTGGCTACCTAGTCACCACCAAAATATTTTTAGGAGAAATAAAATGTTCAGTATGTTACTACTAGTGCTATAGACAAATGTTGATACCATGATAACTTTTTAAAAAAATTGCACAATTCCCCCTCCACCATGCTATTTTTAGTAAATATAACTGTATCCAGACCACCTCAACACTGTGTAGGTGCAAACAGAACCATTGCTATTAATTAGGTTTCTTTTTCTTCTTCGCATTCACCAGCTGTAAACTTTGGTGGAAAGTTCTGGTTGTTCGTCCACTTTTGAACTCAAGTCCTGTTCCAGAACCTGAGTGTTACTTGCACATTCGTTTTACAGATCTAATATGCAGACTCTTGGTTCCTTGCCACTCTGACTTGAAAGCTCTCAATAAGTTGACTCTCACCACAAGCTTGTGGGTAGACCATAGGCCTATTCTTATTGTCCTTGACTATGTTTCCCTGGAACCCACACAGAAAACTAGTCTTCTTAACAGGCTAGTGCAAAACTGGACAGTGATGAGAGATTAGCAGCATTATGAGATTAAAGGGGCTAACCAATGAATGAAGTTCAACACCATCACCACTGCACAACTTAAACACCCGGTGACACAAAATGCCACCATTCGGATGAGAATCATCCAGGCACAAGTTCCAGAAACCCCATTCAACGATTGGCCCCCTATATTGGGATGACTTTGTAGTCAGAGTTCGATGGAGAAGGTCTCTGCTGAAAGTGGTCCTTTAGATTGAACCAAAAAATACTCACCTTCCTAAGAATGCAGGATATACCAGAGTGGGGCTTGATGCCATGGTTATGAGTGCCTTAGGTATATCTTTATCGAGGTTTTACAGGGTATCTGAAATGTTGTCCTTTTATATCGGCGTCATTTGATATTCACTGGCACAGGAACGGAGCATGTATAGGGTGACCCGATTGCAATGAAGTTGAAACTTTGACTAAGATTAAGACAGTTGGCATTCAGGATTTGTCTGTTGAGTTCCAGAGACTTGCAAAGTGCTTTGCATGAGATAGCAGTGTGGTGGGAACAGACAACGGTCCAGGGTAAACCCAGGGAAGGCCAGTGTTTTGTGGTGCTCTTTAAATAACAGCACTGGAAAGAAGACTTGCCCAACATACCCATGAAGGGTATTAATGTTGAAAGAAGAGACAAGCTGAAATACTTTGGTCTGTCGTTTGATCCCGGTCTGTCCTACGGATATCATGTGGAGCCGACTGTGATCAAATGCAAGCATGGCCTGGCGGCACTGAGGACGATGGTGGCTACACACATGGAACAGAAATTATTGGTCTTATTTTTCAATTATTTGGTCCTTTTTGTAATCGATTATGGCCTAGGAGTATTAACCCTATCTACTTCATAGTGTGCAAAGCTTGAAAGGAATAAAAATGAGGAATAAGAATCATCTTGGGTTGCACACGGGACACCCCGATTAGAACAATGAGGTATATGCCTGGGCTAACATCGGTAAAATCTAGAATGACACTGGCGCTAGCCAAGGCATATGTTTGAGTTACCAATGACTAAAGGCATCCGCTGCATGGTAATCTGAACAATTTAAGAGAAGACCGGTTGAAAAGAGAAAAGTCTTGGATGGCACTAGCTGAAGACACCATCGAGACGGCGGCCTCAGTCAAGCAAATACACAGGGGACAGGAATGGATCGACACGAACACACACAACAGCAGTTTCCATCCACTCATTGTCACGTTAGGGAGAGAATGTGGAGAGTGCTGTAGCGGTATGGCAGAATTAGAGGTATGATAGATGGAAAGGCTGGACTAGATGATGCAGTAGTGTACATCGATGTTTCTGTTCATCGGGATGTAAGATCTGGCTGGGGATTTTCAGCTAGAATAAAGAGAACAATTGTGACAGAACAAAACTGAGCTTTTTTTATCTACAACTTTGAGCATGAGAATGGAAGTGGAGGCAATCACTGCAGCTCTGAATTAGACAGCAGAAAACAAAGTTACCAGAGGAATTATTGTGTCTAATTTTCAGTCAGCACTGCGGAAGGTTCAAAATGGACTAATATGGCATAAGTGGATACCATGCATCAGTACACCAGCTTTGCAGGGAATAACGTGGATACACTGTCCAGGTCATGCAGGAGTGCGAGGTAATGAAAGCAGATTTTCTGGCTACAAAAGCGAAAGCTACGGGAACACTCGTACTGGACAAGGGAGACATTCTGAAGACCATAAATGAACGACTTTTGGCAGAAGACACGAGATTAGAGGAAATAACATGTGCAAGAATGTGTGAACGAGGAATTAAGTCTGGATTCAGCAAGGAGGGACGGATGAGAATGTGGATCCGGCAAGGAGGGATGGATGAGAGTCTGGACCCGGCAAGGAGGGACGGATGAGATGAAGAGAACTACATGTGTAATTAGTGTTTTACTGGAACAGTTAGCATTTACACCTTCAGACATTTGCTACGGAAGACGGAGCATCTATGGGTATACCCAGTGTACTATGATGTTGATTCTTAAATCAGTAGATCGGGGGGTTATCTAACCTTCACATGGCAGCCTAAGGGTTAACAATTTAATGATTAATCGTTTATAAACCACTTAGCTTTGGTCATTGTGTCCTTTAGTATAAGTATTGCATTAAAAGAGTCACTTGTTTTCTTCTCCCCAGCGTGAATGATGTACTAAAGCTCTTCATGCAACCATACTTGTCTTGAAGACATACAGCCATGTTTATATTTATGAACCTGACCTCAGGGGCAAGCACTCCTGTGTGAACGGATACATTTGATCTGTGTCTACAGTTACATCCCTTGTTTTTAATAAAAAACCAGAACTTTACAAAGGACCTTCAACTCTCTTGAGTCCCAAGCAACTATTACTACAGTACTTATTGTGCCGCAATCAATCTGTGCACTTTAGAGAAGCATCTTTTAGGTGTTTTTGAGTTACCAGGATAAGCTAGGAGGCCGACAGATTTCAAATAACACTTGGTGTTCAATAAATTGATGTAACAGAACCATGGGATACATTGTGCTCTGAAATGTATAATATTTACTGAGTTGTCGAGGAATGTATGATGATGACCACAACACAAGACCCGCCCAGGCTGCACTACAAATTACTTTGTAACCATTGTGTGGTGACCCAGTATAGCTGCACTACAGATTACTTTGTAACCATTGTGTGGTGACCCAGTATAGCTGCACTACAGATTACTTTGTAACCATTGTGTGGTGACCCAATATAGCTGCACTACAGGTTACTTTGTAACCATTGTGTTGTGCCCCATTATAGCTGCACTAATGGTTGTATGGTTCAACTGGAATTCCGTGATTTGTAGCTGTTTGATTCTCGTTCTTGATTTGTTAATTCTACAGACTTCAATCCTGGAAAGGAACAATTTAAAAAAAAAATGTATGGTGAGTTACTTAATTCTGAAAGAGTTTAAAAAATAAACATTGCTGTAGAATTTGAAACAGTTATTTAAATAATTCATTATAGCATTAATGGATAGCATGTAGTACCGTTGCTGTCACCATCGTCAAGCAACCATGTTCTAATCAGCTCCCCTGTGTTTGACAACAGCAGAGACAGTCTTTCACAACTATTGTTAACGATCATCATCTCAACATTGGGGTTGTGGGGGTGACCTGGCTGTGAGGTGAGACCGTTCTCCCCACATTCATTAGTGTTCAGGTTCAGATCTCAACCAACAGGTTCCAGTCACATTCATTAGTGATCAGGTTCAGATCTCAACCAACAGGTTCCAGTCACATTCATTAGTGATCAGGTTCAGATCTCAACCAACAGGTTCCAGTCACATTCATTAGTGATCAGGTTCAGATCTCAACCAACAGGTTCCAGTCACATTCATTAGTGATCAGGTTCAGATCTCAACCAACAGGTTCCAGTCACA